ATAAGGGCAGATTGTCCATGTTTATTCTGGGTTTTGTTGTGGCTTAAACCTGGTTAGTCCTTGTTTTGTCTGGTAAAATCCTGGGCTGCCGCTTTATTATATTGAACAACAAAAACAAAGTGAAACTTGATATGTCCAGGTGCTTTTCAAAATCATACTAATGGAGAAAACAGATCCCATTGACTGGACAACAAAAGCTTTAATAAAGATGATATATTTGAACCAGTCTGAACATAAAAACACGACCACTTAAATCACATAATCCAACAACAACTAGTATACAAGTCTACTTTTTAAGGTGGTATATCCATTTGATGTCATTCAAACATCACATATCAGTGGGATTACAGAGGAGAATTACCAAACCCCCCAGAAGAAGAAACTAAGGAGTCTTATTTGTTTATAAAGGGCAATATTTACAAAAATGTATATCTGGATTATGGAGTATGGAGTATTTTGATAATAATATTCAGATGATACATTGGTCATCCCATCATAATAATGCTATTACAAAATTACATCAAACTAAGATAGCACTTCTTCAGCGGTAAATTCTGAAGGCAAGATAGTCATTAAACATACTACTAAATTCAAAATATGGAAGATTTTACTATTTTTGCATGTTAAATAATTTTATACTGAACCACATGTGTTGTTTTTGATCCAGTGTTATGCAGTCATGTCTGTTAGCATTGAGTATGAATAAATTTAATCTTCAAAACATCTGCATGCAATATCATAAAACTCACTTTCCATGCGTTAAATTAGTTGATTGTGTAATGTAATCTGTACATTTTTAAATGTTATTTCTTTCATATCTGTAAGTCACAGACAGACAGGATTCCACTCTCCTCGCTGCACTGTCCCAGGACACCCCCCTCCCCCAGACACCAGCAGCTGCAGACTGCACTTACTGGGCCCTAGCTAATAATCACTGGAGCTCCGCAGCCATCCACCAGCACACCTGCCCCGTCTGGTGACTGCTCCATCTGGAAACATCATCAGGGACACTAAGGAGGGGGTTCTATTACCACGTGTGAATGAATCAAGTACAGTGAAATCAGGACATCTGGGACTGTGGTTGCTTTCTGTCACTTACTGATCTGTCTCATGTTGGGCCAGAGCTAGAGGAATGTCCATGGTTAAAGTCAATATTGAAAACAGCACAAGCTCAAAATGTGAAGTAATAGTGGTACAGATGATCCCACTATGTCCAAAGGCAATTCAAATAGAAATAAAGTGTTTTTGAATGGAAAAAATGTCCTCAGCGCTTGCAGGAAACTGAACCGTGTGCACGAACAGGTGATTATGGTGACCTTACTCTCGCTCTTACCGTTCTGTTTACTTAACTGATCTCATTCGAGCAGGTGCAGTTTTTGTCCTAATATTAAAGGTCAGTAATATGGATATATGTCAGAAGGACAGTAATAATCAAATGTTTATTCATAAACAAAATGCAAAACCAATCCTTACTGCAATCCAATATTTGCAGTAAGGATCGCTTGTATGGACATTTATCAACATTCATGGACATTAGTCTCTCCCTATGGACCAATACAAATATGTGTTCTGTATATATTTTTTGTCTTAACTGTTGATTCTCTGATCTGTGTTGGGGATTTCAATAGTTTTTTTGGGTTCTTTGAGATGACTGCTGTTGTGGTTTAGGACTATATAAGAATAAAATGTATTGTATTGTATTTAATTTCCCCTGTTTATACTGGGAAGCAGCAGTCTGAGAAAAGACACGCTCTCCACAGTATCCCACTTTAACATTATATAAAAAATGAATGTTATTCACACAGTGGGAACTTATTTTAACACATAGGACTGCTCTGATTAAGTCATTATCATTCATCCATCCATCCATCCATTTTCTACCCTTTAATCCATTTCTGGGTCAGGGGGGTGGCAGTCAGAGATGCCACCCAAGTCTCATAGCACCAGCCCCTCACTGCCCCTCTGCAGGTGGTGAGTCCACAGGAGGACGGCTGCTCTCTGAGTGTGAGCATAGCCTTGATCTTTCAGTGGGGGCTTTGGGCAAAGTGGGGTTAAGTGTCTTGCCCAAGGACACAACGACAGCAGTCATCAGTGGGAGTCTGCACCTTCTCCACCGACTTTATTTATTTTTTAAACTCAAAAAGCTCCATGCACTAAAAAAGCCAATCAAGGACACTTCTAGGGTATTCTCTTTTCCGTCAGTGGAGGACTATTGTGGAGGTGACAATACGGGACATAAAGCAGTCCAGCCGCAGCGCTCAGATAAGCCATCATCATCATCAGCGGCGAGCAGATGGCGGCTTGATCGGGAACATTGCTCTGCTGCAGTTGTATCTAAGTCATTATAGGAAGCACACTCTAGCACCAAAAGAGACCTCAGTGATTTATACACAGCCCCAGCAAAACTGAATGTGTGCTAACAAATGCCCTCTTGACTCCAGAGGATGCACAATGCTTCGTTTTTTTTAAGGGAGAGGCTTATTTGACTCCCTTGAAAACAGAAATGAAAGCGTAGACGACTATTTATGACAGCTTGAAAAACATTTTTGCAGTTCTTTTTATATAGGAAGGGAGTGTTCATGCTATAGTGAACTCGATCCCCTCAAATCTGAGTTTGGGGTTCTCCTGGGTGAGGGTCATTGGGTTCATGTTAATTCTTTCGTTTATTTGACAGGGACATTGCAAGTCAACATAACAAGCTTGTAACTGATGCAATGCAAAAAGAGTTTATAGCTAATGCAAATTTTTGGTTGGGCCGCTTCATAAACATTTTCAATATTAGCTTTAAAACGTACTTATATATATACTGTTTAAATCACAGGAGTCAAAGTCAAGGCCCGGAGGCTAGATCCGGCCCGCGAGACCATTTCCAGTGGCCCCTGAGATGAATTTAAATGATTATATTAAATAGCAGCATTGATGGTAATGGGCGACAATGGCATGTTATCCATAACTTATTTTCTCAAGAAAACCACCATAAAATATAAGTCCATAGGAAATGTTAAGCTAACATGTAATTAGAAGTTAGTATTGTTATGTTTTTTTATGAGTCTTCAATTACATTTCTTCTCAAATATATGAAGGAGGATTTCCCCAATTTTCTTAGGAAAGAACCGCCCTCTCTACTTTTTGAACAAATCTCTCTGGTCTTATTTGATGAGCACGAATCACCAGAATGATTGACAGTTGTGAGGACCAATAGTCTTGATGATCCACCCGGAAGTAGACAACTGAACTAAGTCTAATCAGAAAATAATATCCAATCTAACTAATGTGAAACAAGTCATTTATATAGATAGCTTCATATTATAAAAAAAAGTATAATAAATGAAACCCACTTCTTCTTTCAGCCCCTGACCAACCCTTTCATTTTTTATTCGGCCCTCAACCAAAATGAGTTTGACACCTCTGGTTTAAATCATATATACACACAAACTCATTGCAAATTACAAATTTACAAATCTGTTTCGATTTCAGCCAGGACTTAACTCGAGAAGAACTCTTTTTTGTGTGTCCTAACTGTTGATTTTCTGATCTGTGTTGGTGATTTCAATAGTCCTCTGAAATGACTACTGTTGTGAATTAGGGCTAAACAAGAATAAATTGTAATTGTATTGTATTGTAGAAGTGAACATTTTAAACTCAGTCAAAACTAAATTCAGTGGGTAATGAGTTCCACAACTTTGCACTTTGCACTTTGCAGACTGACCAAATGAAGTCAGTTGTTGTTATTGATGGAGCCTCTGGTGATTCTGTTGCTGTTTTGTTTCTGTATAAACGAACTGCGTGGCTCAGGTGGGAGCAGACACCATGATTATTACATTATAAAAACTAAAACATGCATGACTCTACTTTCTCCTTTTGATGAACTCTTTGGACTAGATAAATAGCAGTGATAACAGGCTTGTAGTCCATAAAACAACAATTTTAGGATTAAATGACACACAGCATTCAACCTTTAAGCTGGAATAGTTGACGATTTGGAGTCGGACCATTAGCAAAACAGATCCACCATGTCACAGTGTGCTGTCACTGTGTTGTCATTCCCAAAACAAACTCATTGCTTCAGTTTATCACACATTCCCTCCAGGGCGTGGTTAGGCAGATGATAGTATTGCTGGTGATCATTAGAGGAGATTACTGTATGTGTCTGTATTTTCGTCAGCCCTGAGTTTGGAACAGCCGTGGACTCATCTCTCCTGACATGAGCTGACAGAGAAAACTAAATATAGCTGCAGGGTCTGTGCGTAAAGTGACGGTGGAGCAGACGCAGCTCCTTTGGCCTGAATACAGATGTACAAAGGGGAGACAGCTGTGAAGAAAGATCGAACCAGTTTTTACAAATGAGTTACGTTATATCCACAGTTGAATTAAACTGCCCATGTAAGGTATTATATAATATTGGTTCCTTTTGATGGTTTGTTTGCTGCCACAGCCGTCTTGGGGCAGGCTAGTGGAAGAGAGGCTGCCAATGTGAGCCATCCTCATTCACCAAGTTTAGTCAAGAATGCAAGCAAATAGGTATCTTAAAAAGTACTGGCTGAAGGGAATAAGACAATAAACAGCTTGATTAAAGACCTTAGATATAACTTTAACAGCTGTAGTTCATAGCTGCTGTTTGTTGTCATTCTTGTATTCTTCCTTTTACAATATTCAAGATTTAGTTTCTTTGCCATTTGGAGTAAAACCACATCGGAATACCTGTAGATGTATGCATAAGACAGAGCAGTAGTGCCTTGCCTACAGATATGTATTGACTGCAATAACAGCTTATAAAGTTGCTACAATACTCAATCAATGAAATACATATGAGGTCAGTTAAGGACAAGGAATAAGTAATTGTCATAAATCTCACTTTGTCATTTTCATGTTAACCATCGCGCCAGACGCCGACAGAGAAAAGTTACTGACTGAATTGTCTGAACCGGTGTCAGTGTGAGGGCGGAGGCCTTCTGCACTTTATGAATAATGAAACTATGACGTAAACAATGCGGTGCTCTATGCAGCTCGAGCTGGAGGCGCGCGCACAGGAGCGTGATGCGCTCATGACGTAGGTGGCGTCGTGGAGCTTTAATCCAGTGCCGCAGCAGCGCAGCCGGGAGCTGACAGAGGAGGGGGTAGCACGGCCGCACGGACACCGATGGAGCTCAGGAGCTAGGCTATAGGCTACAATCAGGCCCGAACCACTGGGACTTTAGATAGACACGCGCACAAATCACCCACAGAGCCTAGTCGACGACAGGAGCAAGCCGTATGTTAGCCTGGGTCAGACCCCCTCCTCTCTGTCTACGGAGAATTAAAGACTCACTGTGAAACCGGTCCTAAACCTCTGGTCGAATACATTAATTGACTAACACAGTGTGCATATCGACTGGAACCGGAAAACCGTCGACGATCTGTCCCTGGTCGCCTTTCAGCTGCGCCTCTGTCCCGTCAGCTGCTGCGCATCAGAGGAACATGCAGGATGAGCCTGTGGGGGTGACCACCGAACACTCACCCCCGTCCCGAGAGCACAAGGACAGCAGCAGCACAGAGAGCCGTCACAGCACTCAGCTGTGCGCCTTTACGTCCGTGTACAACCTCCTGAACCAAAGGACTACTGTGCCCGAGCCTTTATACGCGGCACTGTCCATCAGTGACCTTCAGCACAGTCATAAAATACATCTGCAGCCGGCCCCGGGCCCCCCGCTGAACCAGATCGACCCCCGGTGCGCTGCTGACTCTTCCCTGGACAAGGCTCACGCTGATGCTGCGTCGCCATCGCTCACTTCCAGAAAAACGCTCCAAATGGACTCCCCCATTACCCACCACAACGGCAATGGCAGCAGCACCGCCAGCATGCTATCCGGGGGTCTCAGCGCTGCTTTCTCTAACCCCACCCAAGAGATGCAGAGCGCCAGCGGGGGGACCTCACCTTCCCTTCCTGGTTTTGGGACCCCGTGGTCGATCCAAACCAGCTCCTCTCCCCCTCCCGCGCCCATCAACCCTGTGCACATGAATCCGATCAGCACAGAGGCAGACTCCAGCAGCTTCTACCCCAGCATCCCCTCCTCCATCAACCCGGCCTTCTTCCAGAGCTTCTCAGCAGTGTCAGCTAGTACGATGAACGTGCCGGGCTTCAGTGGTCCTTTCTCCCCGCAGATGAACGCGCCTCCTCCGCCACAGAGCCGCAGGTCCCCGGTCAGTCCACAGATGCACCCGCAGCAGGGGGCCTTCCTCCAACAGAGAAACAACTACAACCAGCATCAGGTGAGGGCACGCACGGCACACGCACGACACACGCACACACGGCCGCAAAATAATCTCCATCATGTGCACTTTTGCCTCGGGGAGAGTTCCAATCAGGATTTTACGCATATAACAACTGTGTGGTTGCTGTATAGGTCCATATGCTGAGCAGTATCTTGTGACACCGCTCTTGGCTTATTTCTATCACATGGATGGCGTTGTACATTGATTATAAGGGCATGTTATGACCTGTTCAGTGCCCTTATAATGGTGCAATATGGTCAGGGGTGAGGCTGTCAATGTTTTTTGCTTAGTCCATCCTGGAATGTATGTGTATCTACTTTGATAGTCAAGAAAAAGTAAAGAAAATCAAACTGCTCCATCAATATGCTTAATAATGTATAGATATCTAAGTGTGTTTATGCCTATATTGTTGTTTGTTTAATTATATTTTAGTTTTGTGAGATCCATTTAGGTCAGATTTGTAATCCTTTTCAGATTTGTTCCATAACCTATTGATTTAGTAAATGAATGATTCTATAAGGCATGCCTTCAATTGACCAAAAATATATTTTGACGACTATTACTCTTGTAAGAAGGCTTTTTTTTTACACCCTTAACTGGGGTATTTTTGAGTCTTTCATTGCTGATGCAGGAAGGACAGGGAATATCCGAGACATGTATGGACATTTATTAACATTTATTGGCATTGGTCATTCCACTCCCTAGGACCAACGGCTCTCATGTGTTAGTTATTATTGTTGTGGGTGTATTGACAACGTTACAAAGTCTTTCCAGATGACTACTGTTGTGATTTAGGGCTATACAAAAATAAATGTAATTGAATTTGTATTAGCTTTCTGATTTTCCACACCATAGGCCTCCTAATGGTGCCACCTTGATAATATTGTGTGCCTTAAACATAGACAAAACCTATTATTTATGGTACATAAAATTGGAGTTATCTATTCCCGCTTAATGCCAAAATCAAATTCACTGGTTAAATGAAAACATATGCTTTTCTTCCATCTTGTCATGTGATATGTTAAGGAGTCAGGGCCAATAATAGGATGAATTTGTCAATCAGAGCAGCAGTCTGACCACCACTGCTGCTCTTTACTTGAGGCAGCAGTGAGAAGGTCCCATGATGATCGGTACAAAGACACCAATGGTTTGACTGTGCCTTCAGTGGTCCTGTGAAGTGGTGGGACATTACAAAGCTGGAGGTGAAGTGTAGTTTTGTGGTCAGGGAGGTGGGGTAAAGTAAGTACATAGTTGAGTTGTTAGTTGGTGCACAGCAAGTTCTGGGCTTGCTCATGTGATTTGCAAACAGGGCGTGGATCCCTCTGAGGCCGTTTGCATCTCATTGTGCAAACTATGAGCTCTTTTTCCGGTCAGAGATTGCAGGTTACAGAGCCAGAAATTGATATGATTTCTCTGCACATTCATAATTATTCATTTCCAAATACACAAAAATATTTTCAAGATCTTTCACCCATATACAGTATACCGTACTTTCTGGATACAAGCCGTAACACCTACATTTGAAAAGAAAATTAATTTGTTGTTGTAATTTAGCAGATAGTCAGATGACAGTGTTTAACAGCTTCACCGTATACCTTCCATGCCAGTACTCATTCACCCATCTATTTTGGCATTAAATAAGTGTCCTATAGCTACTTAAACTTGATGGAGTCAAAATAATAAGTCCATAAACTCTGCTCTGACAACTCTACCACAATAAAAATACACATATTAGCCGCATCGCTATTTAAGCCACAAGGTTAAAAAAGCTAGAACAAAGTAGCAGCTTATAGTCCAAAAATTACGGTAAATCAAATTATAAGTTGTCTATTCCCCAAATGCAGGATTAAATAAATCTGATAGTGATAAAACATAGTTATTAATACACACTATTTATAATATAATAATAATAATATCCAAGATTATAATATCGACTACACATTTAGATTTTGCACTTGTACTTCTACTGTGGCTCAGTTGGTAGGGCATTGGTCTCTGAACCTAAAGGTTGTGGGTGTCATTCCTCCAAGTCAGCTGCCGTTGTGTCCCTGGGCAAGACACTTAACCCCACTTTGCCCAAAGCCCCGCTGAAACACCAAGGCTCCGTCGATGCAGTAGCCATCTTCCAGTAGACCCACCACCTGCAGGATGATCAGCGAGGGGCCGGTGCTATATGATTTGATTGCCATCTCCCCAACCCAGAAATGGACTAATAAAGGGGAGGAAAATGAGTTGACACTTGTACTTCTATGGACGTTCATGTCTAATGCGCAGACAACTTTAAAGTTTTAAAGAGAACCAATTTCAGCGCTCATATGGTCTTCCCTCTAACCTTCTGCAAACCATCTTGGGTGAATTCACACTTTTTGGGTCTGGTTCACTTTAACCATCTGAAGATCTATGGAGCACTTTCTCTCCAAGTTAAACCAGACTTTGTCCAGTTAAATTGAACCAAACCAATAAGCGTGCGCGTGCCCTTAGTGAGACTTATTGTGGCGAAACGCATATTTGCAATTCATTCAGTCATGCTCTTTGAGATTACATTGAGGAAGGATATAACAAACAATGTTGATAAGCTTGTGTGGAATGGGGCCGCTTTCCCGGTCACAGTTGTGCAGAAAACCTTGTAAAAAAAAACGTGAAAAGGAGAAATTGTATTTAGTGAGCGGCTGTGAGCATGAGTGCAGGGAGCAGGTGCCGGGTGAGTGCAGTGTAACTTACACTAGCCGTGCACGAGAGGCCTGGTATTAGACTTAAAGCCCTAAAGCTTCTTATCACTCCTCATTATACTAGCACAGCGTTTCTCAAGCTGTGGTTTGTGAACCGATTGTAGTAGATGAGCTTCTGCCATGGTTGTCATGTGGTATTGATGTACGGGAGCGAGGTGACCTATATTGACCACTATTGGGAACAGGTCGCCACTGTACATAGCCAGTTGGTTTGAGTAGCTAGTTGGGATGGTTGTTCCATATTTCAATGCCATGAATAAATGATAACATATTAAAGCATCAAGAAGTTGGATAAAAATAACAAAAAATAGGAATACATTTAGTATATATGTGGTTGTCCCTCTTTATTCATCATCTTAATCATCTTAAATGTTTTGCTAACTACAGTATATGCTAGTGCCATGTGAACCAACTCGGGAGTAGCACAGGGACTGGCCTCCTACTAGTGCCGGAGTCAACACTAAACCTGGGGAGGCCGCATTTAAGCTTCATGCAGCAAAAATCTGCAACAGTCTTCCTGAAAATCTGAGACAGGCTTCTACTCTTATCATGTCCAAAACAGTTAAACAGTTAAAAATTGTTCGCTTTAGCTGTGCATACAACTGAAGGATTGTATCTTCACCCCTTTTAATGTACTGTGATTATTTATGATCTTGTTTTTCTTAAGCACTTTGAGTTGCCTTGTGTATGAAAAATGATGTGCTGTGAAAAATAAACTTGCCTTGTCCTTAGTATGGAAATGGGATCAAAAGCTTTTACAACATACTGTAAATCTCCCACCAAACCCATGTGTTTTATTTCTCTCCTCCGCAGCCAATGGTGAAGCCCTCTCCGTGGAGCAGCCACCAGGGAAACGGCTGGGGCTCTGGGGGGATGTCCTGGGGCAGAGACCACCGTCGAGGGGGGGGTGGTTTGGGCGTACCTGGCTCCATCAGTCACCTCTCCCCGCACAAAAAGCCCTTCCCCGCTAACGTCATCGCACCCCCAAAGTTCCCACGCTCGGCCGGATCTCTGGGACCCAAGTCGTGGATTGAAGAGAACGTCTTCCGCACAGATAACAACAGCAACACCCTCCTGCCCCTCCAGGTGAGTCTGTCGAGGGAATACATACAATAAGGATTAACTACTGTATGTATCAGTTTAGATATTCTTTATTTGTCCAATAGTAGGGATGTTTCAACAATAGTATTGTCAGGAATGAACCAGACAGAGACGGATCGTGGTGCGCCAAGCTCTGGAAGTTTATTAGGTTTCTCTAAAGTTCCAGTGGTTTCTGTTGTTTCTTTCTTTCTCTCAGACAAAATGGAGTCAGTACATGTTATATATAGTCATTGTTACGTCACACATCGAAAGACACATCCCACTAAACATCTGACGTCCACTCAACCTCCAGATCACGTCAATATCGCGTTGGTCGGTCGTGACCTTTTATTCACGTCCAAACGACGTCTGTGTAAAGTGCGCATCTGGACGTAAAACAATGACCTCCCATAGACGTGGATTTGACGTCCAATCCCTACCTCCCTTAGACGTAGAAAACAGGTCATCGGCCGACCCACGCATTAGGACGTGATGTAGCAATAGACGGGATCGGCTGTTTAGCTATTGGTGAGTGTCAGACGGTAGTGTAGTGGTTAAGTAAATATGTGCAGCCGCGGTAACGTGGGTTCGAGCCCACGCGTGAGCTTCATAAAATTTATATATTTGTTTCGATTTTAAGGGAAAACCTTTTCTCTGTTTGGTTAGAAACTAATAAACGCTCAACATAGGATTATGTAGTGGTTAAGAATAAAACTTGTGAACTAATGCATTTGTTGTGCTAACAATCTCAAGTACTCACCCTCTAATTTGCAAACTTCTATTTGTCCACGATACTATGTGTTTTTTGGACACTCAAAGACGCTTCTTGTGGCGGTGATGGAAATCTACTTTGATAAACTTCTCTAGATTCATGTCTGATGACGTTACACACGTGGTCTGTAAATAAAAGACACTTGGGAGCAACATAGCCGTGCGGATTTTTATCTTTTTTTCAGACTACTGTAACCACCTACTGACAGAAGCAAGGCCACCAATATGTGCCATCAATCCCTCCAAGTACCACCAATTATTCGTACACACACACAGACACGCACACACATACACACACTCCTACAAAGTGGATGAACGACACGACAGCAGTTTTGCAGTTTACAGCCGTCCCACTGTGGTTCTTGGTGTTCCCAGAGGTCTTCCATCACAGTATTATCCAGGGCCTAGTCTGCTTAGCTGGTATCAGGCTTTCACATACAGTTGGCGCTGTTATGGGCCTCTGATTTGTTTAATGAGTGAGAATGATACTTTTAAAGCAACTCTGTGTATTGTCAGTGTTTGGCCATTAATCTATAACAGGTAGATTATAGTTATACTGGGTTAGTTTTGTTTCATCATTGCAATTGGATAGAGCAGAAAATAGGTATACTGCTAAGGAAAATGAGAAAAGATAGACATGTTTTATTGTTGGTAGACAGCATTAAACGAAAGTACCACAGCGTTCACATGTTTTATAGTATACATGTGCACAGACACACAAATATGGAAGCTCTGCCTCAGCGTCTGCCGTGTCATCCATACATAAGTTTGCTTCGACCTTCAGATAACCAAAACATCAAGCAGAAAAGTATTGATTTCTGTTGCATCTGTTGTAATGACCAGCTCAGTTTTAACATAATAAAGTCTCATAAAAGATCCATAATACATAGCCCAATAGTTGCAGGGTGTATAGTAGTAGGCATTATAGTCGTTAGTTCCATCATTCCCATTGATTCCATAATATCTTCTGTGAGATTTCATAACACTTTGAAGCAACTTTTGTTAAAGTTAAACTCATCATTCTATCAATGTGCAGAAGCCTGTACTTTTCCCCTTGTTTTGTCTATCTGAAGGCCAAGCTACAAGCACACCGTGGAAGCTGCTGATTGGAAGTCTCCATGCCTCCGCTCTGTATAATACACTTGCATTCTGTTGTATCTGTGATCGTGTGCTTTGTTCGTGCTGTCTCTACCATTGACAATAAAACATGTCTTCTGTCTGAATTTATGACACAAAAAAAAAAAAAAAAAAAAAAAAGTCTTCTGTTCTCTAGATGTTACAGACAAGGCCCGCATCCTTCCACCACCTGAAGAAGATGACATAGTCTGGGATCGCGTCTTAAATTCAGACAGAAGACATGTTTTATTGTCAATGGTAGAGACAGCACGAACAAAGCACACGATCACAGATACAACAGAATGCAAGTGTATTATACAGAGCGGAGGCATGGAGACCTCCAATCAGCAGCTTCCACGGTGTGCTTGTAGCTTGGCCTTCAGATAGACAAAACAAGGGGAAAAGTACAGGCTTCTGCACATTGATAGAATGATGAGTTTAACTTTAACAAAAGTTGCTTCAAAGTGTTATGAAATCTCACACTTCCTCACAAACAACTGCTAGATTATCAAACACGTGAGGTATTTGTTGCAGAAGTTCAATACAAACTTACAGTAAACCGCCTGTTACATGATGCTGTGATATCTCCATACGAGTAAGTGCAGCCAGGGGGAGGGGAGGCTGTTTGTATGACATCAAGCTTATGAGGAGCACGTTTTGCATTTGCGGCACGGTGGCTGAGTGGATAGCACTCTCGCCTCTCAGCAAGGAGGTCCTGGGTTCGAATCCCGGCCGGACCAGGGCCTTTCTGAGTGGAGTTTGCATGTTCTCCCCGTGTCTGCGTAGGTTTCCTCCGGGTGCTCCGGTTTCCCCTACCACTAAAAATATGTACAATAGGTATGGCATGTGCCTCCTGTACTGGCGACCCCACTCCCAACAATTGTAAACCGCTTTGAGACTCCGATGTGCAGTGAAAAGGCGGTATATAAATAAAAGCTTACTTACTTACTTACATTTCAATTACATGCGACGGGTCCTAACTGACACACGCTGCAGGTTTGAGGGTGTTCCCCAGTGGGGGAAGGGGTCTTTTTTTAATAGGAGTATGCTTCCAACGAACAGGTTTGCTGAAAAGTACAGATACTAGATTTGTCTCGTGTTTTTATCAGAAAGATGTAAATGATAGCATACATTATCCAGAAGCAATCCATGAATATGTCCCTGTAGCTGGTGTCTGCCATGTACAGTAGGTGGGAGTATTCAGGGGAGTGGTGTCTACTCTAGGCCCAGGGGCAAATGGTTGCTCTCCGAATAAATGTTCATGGCCCTCAGGCTTGTTTTGGGATTGACCAAGATTATATCAAGCACCTTTTACTGAACAAGTCTGAAAACAAATCTGTAATGGTTTACAGCATTTAACACTGATTTGAGGTATGTATAAAAGTGTGGCCCTCAAAGTAAAAGGTTAAATTAATTTAATCTGTGTTAATTTAATCTATCCTTACTCTCTAATGTAATCTATGTTTTCGTAAGAGTTGGTAATTTAAAATTATGTTGAAAATAACTTTGTTTGCTATCAGAAGAATATACAATTACTCCCTGTTACTTGTGGCTCGGAAAACAGATTTAAGTAGTTAAAGGGGAGGTTTATCCTTTTTATCCTTATCCTTAGGAACATATTTTATTACACTATATTTCAGTCAGATCTGTTTACCAAAGTTTAAGATCCAATTATTATCAATACCATTGCCAAGAAACACAGGGCTTCCTATTCCAGGAAGCAGGCCCAGCACACTGGATTGTTAATTTCCATAAACAGTTATGAATCCAGGATTTTTTAGATTCCAGTTCTTTTCCTTCCTTCCTCTCTGTTTTATGTTTCAGAGACACGTCTCACTGCGGCGTTCCCGAAGTCTCCATAAGAGAGAGAGGGACAGATGTGTGTCTCTGTACACGCTGTGTCTTCAAAGTTTAAATGATTCATGTGGTTTTGTCATTTATCATCACATTGTTATACTTTAAGATCGAGAACCAATGGTAGTTCCATGTTGTGTGATTTGAAAGTTAGTCCTTTTTATCTTTTTTTGCATTTCATACAAAAAAAAATTATGATTGAGTTTCTCAGTGTACACCTTATCCTGGTCACAGTTTTAGTTTTCTATGTTGAATCAATCCCAACACATTTTGAAAAACAAACCTTCGCATGACCCCTAATGGGAAAAATATGGAAAGAATGTTAATCCAAACGTGAGTTAGTTTGTTTTAAATCCTCTGACATCTGAAGCCAAGATCTTAATTACTATACTAATATAATGGGTTTAAACATGTGTGACCTCAACATGAGCTTATCACAGTGGCATATGAGAATAAGCCCCTTTATGTGTGAGTACTTACAATAAAGATTTCTCTTATTAATATTGATTCTGCACAGTCTTTGTGCAGCAAGAAATGGGTAATCCAGTCCAAGTCTTTGAAAATGTATTAAGTTCTGCTAGATCTTACATATACATGTGTGTGAAGTTTCCTGCCCACTGACACAACAACAGTGTGGCACTTTACAGCCGCAGCCGCCCCACTGTGGCACCTGGTATTCCTCAGAGGTCTTCCATCCCAGTACCACCCAGACCCTGCCCTGCTTTGTTTCAGAGTTCTGACGTGATCTGGCTACTAGATCTGTAAAGGGACCGTATCTGCAATCATCAGAGTTCTCTATTATGACCCTGATTTACCTTATTACTGCACGATGATCTCCTTTATCATTTGTTCACACTTGTGTTTCCAGGAACGGTCTCGAATGTATGACAGCCTGAACATGCACTCTCTGGAGAGCTCTCTCATCGACATCATGCGGGCCGAGCAGGATCCTATGAAAGGTAGGGTTGCCTTTCCCTTTCTACCAAACGCCCTGGATCAAATGATCAGATCAGGTTTACTCTGGGCAGGAACTGTGTGTGTATTAGACAAGTAGACCAAAGCAAAGATCTGAGACTGCATGCTTATTTTCCACTTCAGATGGAAACTGTACTGTGACGAGATGTCTTCACTTGATATGTAGTTGTAGTAGCAGTAGTAGTAGTAGTGATAGCAACAGTAGCAATAGTAGTAGTATGGAAACTATACTGTGACGAAACAGTAGCAATAGTAGTGGTAGTATGGAAACGACAATGTGACGAGATGTCTTCACTTGCTACATAGTATTAGTAATAGGAGCAGCAGCAATATTAGTACTAGTAGTAGAAATAGTAGTTCTAGCAACAGCAATAGTAGTACTTGTAGTAGAAATAGTAGTTCTAGTAGTAGCAGCAGCAAAAGAAGTACTAGTAGTAGCAGCAGTAGCAGAAGGAGCAGCAGCAACCATAGTAGTACTAGTAGTCGTATTAGTAGCAGTAGTAGTAGTAGCAGTAGCAGTAGTAATTCAATTCAAAAAAAATTGTAAAGCCCTAAATCACAACAGCAGTCGTCTCTGATGACTTTACAAAGTTGTTGATTTGCCAACACAGATCAGAGAATCAAACACGGGAAATGTGTTTGAACTGAACTGCAGCCATAGTAGTAGATGTAGTAGAAGTAGTGGTAGTGGTCATACTGGTGGGATTGAAATTGTCGGCAGCTTAGCATTTAACTCCAACAATGAAGACGCTAAACCTACAACATTTTAACTAATTAAACAAACCAGCTTGTATCATTTCACTATGTGCCCTCCTAATGTCGAGGTAGAGAATCATTTTTATTGACCTATTGTGGACATTCATTTGTTTTTTATTTAGGGGTCACAACGAACCCAATAAAAAGCCAATTAAAAGTCAAATTCAACATCACCATGATCACACACTTTCCTACCTTTATCTTTTTATTCAATTCAATTTATTCTTGTATAGCCCTACATTTCAACCGTAGTCAGATCAGAGAATCAAACAGTTGAAACACAAGAAATGCAATGATAAAACACATAGAGCCATTGGTCCATAAGGGGCAGATGACCAATGTCCATAAATGTCCATGATATCTTTTTTTAATCAATTTGAAACGTTTTTTCTTGCTATCTTTTGTGCTTGTGAAGAAACATACCCAAAATTATAAGTGGCTTCGATTCAAAAGCTGAGACATAGATGCATGAACTTGTTGTTTTGCAGCCGTAGGTAGATTGGCAGTGGCAGAGAGTGTAGCCTGACACTGGCCTCTGAGGCTCAGCTGCTGGACATTAGAGCACTAGTGTCAAATGACCAGCACTAAATGAGACTGGTTTACAGCTCACAGTTTAGCTCCACCAAAAACCTCCCACCAGTAACAAACACACTATCAATGTAAGGCCTAACATCGATGTATGCACAGTGACCTATTTGAATCCTGAAAGGGCACATAGCATTTTTCCCATGTTACAACGTTGTTCCCTCATCAAACACTTAACTGGATTGGTTTTTAGCTCCATCCACGCTAATATCATCACGAGGCATCTAGCACAAACATGTCCTTCTGCCTCTTTTGTCTAAATGCTTCCCACCTCAAACCTGATACGCTTTGATGAATCCTTATGATATTACGTCAATGACAGCCATATTGTTTTCTATTACCTAGTATTGCCTTACTATTAGTCTTAGTAGTTTCTCCTGTTCAAACGTTGCTTTAATATATTAGTATTAGCATTTCTGACACCATGAAGGTGAATCAACACATTCAACACTCAAAAGGTCACAATATTACTCATCCCATAAGTTGTCCATGCCTACAATCTGGTATATTTACAGGACCTGCTCTTCAGTTATACACACTGTCCAATCCAAATATACACATAAACTGAACTAAACTCAATGAGAAATATCAACATTTGTCTTCAGTGTCCGGCTGTACCATTATCGTACAGAGGCAAAAAGTAGGTTTATAATGTCTCTGTTTGCAATATATCTTCCTCCAACATGAGTTATTGTGACAGCCCTAATGACATAGATATTATTTACATATTTGTACAAATTAAGAATAGATTTTCTCAGTAAATATCAACACTAATGGCCTTTTGAAACGTGTGTTTGAATTGGCTATTCATACTGAACATCTCATTGGACAAATGGACATAAAGGGCAGGGTGTTGGGCCTTGCTGTCCTCAGCAGCAGCAGATGGAGAGGACATGGCCCTGTGTTTTCAGTCTATATTTAGACCAAATCGTGCTGCACTGCATATGACAGAGTCGAGCACTGGACATATATAGCACTCACCCGAGCAAAACACAGACTCAAACGTCAAAAGCTGCACAGACGTTGTATAAGGACTCCGATTGCATAGACTAATTAGAACATCAAAGTACTATAAGTAACTCAACTATATTTCAGTAAGACAGGTGCTGAAATAGTTTTAAAAGTTTTATAATCAAAATAAGCCTGGAAACATGAACATCAAGTTAAAATGGTATAGAACAGAATAGAAAAGATCATCTTTATTGTCTACTGAAGTACAAATTTATCTTTAGCCAACATCACATAAAAACACAAAGAACAGTGATAAAGGACATTCAAGAGTTTAGCATGACCTTTAGACTACCCTTTTTTCAAATTAGTAAAATAATTGTAAAGTATCTGAGGGGACAAAATAATCTAATGTTCTCCTCTCTTGAATTCAATTTGTTTTATGAACAATATAGCAATGATAAGAGTATTATGAATTCAGATGGCAGATAGACATATTCCATATAGTCTCATACCCAGTTGTGGTGTGTGGATAAATAGCTCATTTTCCCCTTGTGTTACCAGTGTGGCCAACGTGGCATAGTTTCTTTCTTTAATCGCCACTTTCTATTGTACATAATATATCCTGCACAGACTATATTTTTGCCTTTAACATGTTTGCACACTTCTTTCTTTTGCACAAATCTTGAGTGATTCTATCCATGCCAGATGTCACATGTACATTTCTCCTGTGTGAGATCAATAAAGTCTATCTTATCTTATCTTATAGTGCGTTCAAATACAACCATTGTATGTTGTGTTTAATGTTGTGATGCTGCTGTTTGACCCTGTTCTTTCCATATGCTGTCTCTCCTCTGGATGTGTGTGTGTGTGCGTGTGCGTGGTGGTTGCGTGTCCATTCAGGCCGAGTGGGATGCCCTTATCCGGGGGCAGAGGGTCTTCTCATGCTTAATGGTAATTATGATGTAGCACTTCATCCCACTCAGCTGTGCGGTTAGTCTTCAGGATCAAAGTGTTACTATAGGGCTATGCGAGGACTTAACGTACTGTACGCCCAGGTTAAAGCTATATTCTCTCTGTTATAACCATAGACTGTATATAGGAGTGGACACTGCAAATCCACCGGCCCTATGAAGCCTAACAGATAGAAGTTTTTACTTTGGCTCCTTTTGATTTGTGTCACACTCACTTTTTTGGACTCAAGAATTTGAGATTTAACGACCTATTGGATCCTGATGTTATTATTATTTTTATTGATGCTCTCTATGTAAATAGAGATATGGCCCCTAACAGTTGACCAATTAGGTGACTTCTATCCGGAAATTCACCTTTGGCGAGTGATTTGCGCTCTTTGGTTGCTCGGGGGCCAGATTCCCACTCATTGAGCCGGATTGCATTCTAGTCAGCTTCTTTTGGGAAAAGGCGAATGATATTTGTACTCAGTTTATCTGCTTCTTCTACAGTTTATGGTTATAATGTGATTTGTTTTGTTAGTTATAAATGTTTGTAAGTCCATGATGTTCCTCGTGAAGTCCATAATTGAATACCATGCTTAGAATAAGCAAACATTGGTGGGGATTGTTGAAAGATTTATTCCTTGAGAATAGAGACATATGTAGAGTAACTATCTGCTGTTCTTCACAGAGCTTTCATTGATTTGCTCAGAATGTTTCATTATGGAAGTAAACATCCCAGGAAGAGTAAAAAACCAACTCTGTTGAGAAACACACCTTTGGCCTCATACTATATCTATTTTCCCATACTTACCAAATACATTCAGCTTCTAAACGGGTCGGAGTTGTTTTCTCTTGACCACATTTCTGGTCATCGTCCCAACTACTTTTAATATAACAAAAGAAATAAAAAAATGTTTTGCTAGAGTCGCTGCTTTCATAACATTTGATTAAACTTTAAACATTAAAGCATAAATCTATTATTGTTGTTAGTCATAACTATGAAGCTAGTGTCTGAGAATTATATGTCATCAGCTATTCCCCACTTACCCCAGCTGGTGAAATAACAGGGTTTTATAACCAGGACACTATCTAGGTCAGATCACATTTGGAAATTACAAGAGTCTGAAACCGATTTGTTACACATGACCAGTGACAATACTAACACACTAACACTCACTTGTGACAAGGTTATATTTGCCAGTGTGTAGCTGAATCTGCTCTCACTTCTCCACATGCAGCTAGAAGCTGTGCGAGACGTCGAGGTAAATGCAAAACATTTTGTGGCTTTTATTGTGGCATGCTTACAGCTTGAATGGGTTCAAACTGAGGCCTCAAGTCTTAATGTAGTCATTTCATGATGTCAATTAATCATTTATAATTGATTATTGAAAAAGGGGTAAAAACAGGGATATTTATACTGTGATTAAGGTCTCTGCATTGGTCCTTTCTACATACCTGATTTTTTTGTTTTTTGTTTAAGTAATCCAATACAGAATTTGTTCACTTGCAACAATTTTCAGATAAGCAGATTACAACAGATTTGTTGTTAGTATTTATAACACAAAACATATTCTGCTCAAACATGGAAAAAGAAAATTGGGTACATGCTCAGCTTTTTGTACTAACTGCTTTGTGACGCACATCTGGCCTTTTCCACTCACTCCAGTTTCCCGGTCCAAAACAAAACATATAACCGCCTGGAGGACAGATGGGGATTGGATGTAGTGGAAATGTGTTGGTTTCTTATTCTGCTGACGTCTGTGTGTATTATACTAAGTCTTGATCTAAATCTGATGTTTTTTCATCAGGCCGCTCATCTCTGTTCCCCATCGATGACAATCTCCTTGACGACGGTCACATGAACCAGGGCATCCCGGGACTCAACTGTTACCCGCACCAGAACGGGGAACGCATTGAGCGCTTCTCCAGAAAAGTCTTTGTGGGAGGTCTGCCCCCTGATATCGATGAAGGTCTGTGGATGATCTGATTTCATTAATAATTAAAATGCTCTTATGTTTTAACAAAATGTTGCGGGTTTCTTTTGTGCTGTACAGATGAGATAACATCCAGTTTCCGTCGTTTTGGTCACCTGGTCGTCGATTGGCCGCACAAAGCAGAGAGCAAGTCTTACTTTCCACCTAAAGGTATGAATGATGCGAGGTACAACTTAGTCTACACACTCATTGTATCTTTGAATTTTTAAAAACCTAAATGGATCATATACTTAAAGGGAGATTTTATGCAAATGTGCACTTGTAAAGTGAACATGTATGCAAAAATGACCAATTATTAGGGGGCACGGGAAACAAAACTACAAAAACAACACAAAGACAAAAGTCAAACGCGTTCACAAACATGGTTTTTCTGCCTCCGCAAAATAAGGAGCAACTGTTATGCGACTGTTCGAACGTCCTGTTCAAATGAATTACGATTGATTGCAGTTGATGTTAGTTATTGTTCCCAGCAGCAGTGGTATTTGACAGCGTGTTGTGAACATATGTTGTTTGAAGGGCTTCTCTCTGTCTCTAGGATACGCCTTCCTGCTGTTCCAGGAGGAGACTTCAGTGCAGGCGCTCATCGAGGCCTGTATGGAGGAAGACGGGAAGCTCTACCTGTGTGTGTCCAGCCCCACCATCAAAGACAAACCAGTGAGTGCCGCACATCACACTGTAGTATTGGGTTTGACATAAACACAAATGGGTCAAGATTCTAGCGATTTAACTTTACCCTTTGGTGACTAAGTGATCGATAGAATTCAACAAATCCCAACCTGAGCAATGAGGACCCATATAGGGATTGGCATGGGTATTACAGGAGGAAATTCACAAACTAGTAATACCCCCGCGACCCGGCAACGGATGAAGCGGAAGAAAATAGATGGATATTGATACTCAATACAATTCAATTCAACACAGTAGTTGTCTCAAAGGCAATAGCATAAACACATAATTGTATGCGTAACAATTGCAAGATTATACTAATACTCATCTGTGCTCACATTGAAGGTTCAGATCCGCCCTTGGAACCTGAGTGACAGTGATTTTGTGATGGACGGGTCTCAGCCTCTGGACCCCCGTAAGACCATCTTTGTGGGAGGAGTGCCCCGTCCCCTCAGAGCGAGTAAGTACCATATTATTCAGACTACTGTAAGGACATGGTTTTCTTTATGTGTGAAGTGACAAGTGAACCTGTGTGTAGTCGAGCTGGCGATGATCATGGACCGTCTGTATGGAGGAGTGTGTTACGCTGGGATCGACACAGACCCGGAGCTCAAATACCCAAAGGGGGCGGGGCGAGTGGCCTTCTCCAATCAGCAGAGCTACATCGCAGCCATCAGCGCCCGATTTGTTCAGCTGCAGCATGGAGACATTGACAAGAGGGTATGAACAGTGGACTTGCAGACAATTTAGTTATAGTAAAAGACAGAGGCATTGGTGGCAGCGGGGTGTCCAAACTTATCTAATCCATGGCTACTAACTGTCTCTAAATGAACACAAGGCTGCACCATTTTCAATCAATCAATCAATCAATCAATCTTTATTTATAGGGCGCTTTTCCTGCACAGGGCAACACAAAGCGCCTCACAGTCCACACCACACAATGCACAAATCATCACCATTAAAATACAATTAAAAACACATATGTAATTAAAAAGCATTAAAATCACATAAGTAATTTAAAAACATAAGAATCACACAAGTAATTAAAAACAATAAAATAGTTAAAAACACAAAAAGTTACAACAATAAATAACAAGGTGTGTTAAAAAGATAAAATTCTCTAGTTGTATGCACAGGAAAAAAGAAAAGTCTTTAACATGGATTTGAACATTGACAGAGAGGCAGCCAGTCTCACATCCTCAGGAAGACTGTTCCAGACTTTAGCTGCATAAATCTGAAAAGCAGCCTCCCCCTGTCTAGTCCTGACTCTGGGCACTAACAGGAGTCCCGTCCCTGCGCTCCTCAGAGTCCGGGCTGGTTCATATGGGACTAGCATATCATGGATGTACTTTGGTGCAAGGCCATGGAGAGACTTGTACACCAGGAGAGCTGCTTTAAAGTCTATCCTCTGGGCCACGGGAAGCCAGTGCAGAGACCTGAGGACCGGACTAATGTGGTCGTACTTCCTGGTTCTAGTCAGGACTCGGGCTGCAGAATTTTGAATATACTGCAGCTGTTTTACTGCATGTTTGGAGATACCTGTGAGCAGGCCATTGCAGTAATCCAGCCTACTGGAAACAAAAGAATGGATAAGAATCTCCAAGTCTGCCCTGGACACAATATTTTTAATTTTGGCAATATTTTTCAGATGATAAAAAGCTGCTGATGTTACCGATCCAATGTGGCTATTGAAGTTTAAGTCAGAGTCCATTATTACTCCCAGATTTCTGACCTTATTTAAAGGCCTTAGGGAGAGAGACTGAAGGTGACAAATGACGGTCTCTCTTTGTTTCTCGGGACCAAAGACAATCATTTCGGTTTTGTCCGCATTTAGCTGGAGAAAATTGCATTGCATCCACTCACTGATCCGCTGGATACAGCGAAGGAGTGAGTCCACCGGTCCATGCTCTCCTGCAGTCAGTGAGACATAGATCTGAGTGTCATCAGCGTAATTGTGGTAGGACACTTTCATACTTTGAATTAACTGACCTAATGGCAGCATGTAAATATTGAATAGGAGAGGTCCCAGAATCGACCCCTGTGGCACTCCGCAGGTCAGGGCCATATTATCTGAGACATAGTCTCCAATCTCCACACAATACTTCCTTTCTTCTAGATAGGACCTAAACCAGCTTAGGGCAGTACCAGCAACACCAACCCAGTCCTCCAGTCGATCTAAGCAAAGATCTAATTGCTATATTAATAACCAAAATTGCGATTGCAGTGCGATTTTTGAGAAAAAGTTACAGTTGAAAAAGCGATTACCTCATACACAATCTCAATTTCAGAAACTGTTTGTAGCATTCTGAACTACATTACTACCATTTTTACCAGTAAAAGTACAAGATGAATTGCAAAAAAAAAAATTGTTATGTATAAACGCTTGAAAAAGTAGTAATTTTGTATCTATTCTTACAAAAGTCTTATAGTCAGACCTGTACAAGACGAAAGCTATGTGGTTGTTCCATTGACAGATCTTCAAAATAACCCAAATCCCGAGGACTTTTTTGCGTAACTCACTATATAAATCACGACTTGCTGTGTAGATTTTGACCATATGTTTTCTTCAGGTGGAGGTGAAGCCTTATGTCCTGGATGACCAGCTCTGCGACGAATGTCAGGGGGCTCGCTGTGGGGGAAAGTTCGCTCCATTCTTCTGCGCCAACGTCACCTGCCTTCAGTACTACTGCGAGTTCTGCTGGGCTAACATCCACTCACGGGCCGGCCGCGAGTTCCACAAACCGCTGGTCAAAGAGGGCGCGGACCGACCCCGACAGATCCACTTTCGCTGGAACTAGAGATAGCCCACCACAATGAGAGCAGAGGAACGAGTAAAGCCGAGTCTACCCGGCTTTCCTGTCAGTGTAACCCTATACGTAGCACTAAACCGTATATTCATAAATATCTATATCTTTTGTAGCAGCCAAACACCACAAGCCTATGTTTTTCACCAAATCTCCCTTTCACATCTCAGGCTGATAACAACCTTTTTGTGGTACGTTCATCTTTTCTAAACTGAGATTTAAAATGAAAAGGAAGAAGAGATTGATTTTTGTAGGTTTTTTTATTACCATTATTTTTGTATGTGAGATTTTGAAGTAGATAGGGGAATGTTTTTTGCATGGGGGCAGCTTGTCTGTCTGTCTGTCTGCTGCTATAGCCACCCAACAACAGTGCGTTAAGTGCACATATGTTTCTGGGAGAAAAAAAACCTCAATTCTTGTATGTCTAGGTCATGACCAAAGGTAGCAACAACATAGGAAAAAAAAACCTTACTCTTCGAAATACTGTTATTGCCATAGACTCAAACACCATACATTTAATAGTGTGATACCTCAAAATTCCAAATCCTGGTTTCTGCAGACTTTGTTCACTACAATGGAAATGTACTAAGCTCTTTGAAGCTTTGCTGCTATGTATACATAAATATTAGTAAATGGACTACACTATTACTATATTAACCACAGGAATCAAATCAATTACAATGCAGTATATTATGCACTTAACCACTTATGGCCCCCAGTGCCATGAAAAGTGCATGAAGTTTTTTTTTTTTTCTCAATAAGCTTCTCTATTCAAACGCATGCCAGAAACATGTGTCTTTGGCAAAACACAGCAGAGATAGATATAAAAATGTGGGAATAATTTAGGATATTTAGTTATTTCGTAAGTAGCATGAACATCTCTCGCAGATGTTTGAAAGAAAAGACATACATAATGAAAACCTATTTAAACTCGCATGCGTTGATGTTTATCTGTTGTTTACATACTAAACAATACAAAAAGTGATATTGGTTCTACTGTAGATTTAGCGAATGCCATCTCTTTTGATACGGTGGCAAAAAATACCCCTTTGACAAGTGGTGTCCAGTGTTTCGTGTTGTCCCCGTGCTGTGTGCGATCTGTCGGCTAAGGCTCTAGTATAGTCAAACAAAGAGGAGAGTTCGAACATCTTTTCTGCCTTTAAACTGCTAAATAATGTATGTTTCCAAAGCGAATACGAGTTGGCAACGCCGTGCGCAGACCTAAATAGCACAGAGAACGACACATTGAGGTCATTGGTCAACTTGGCAATGTCTTTCAATGGAATATCCTTAATGAAGGTCTGCGGGCTTGCTTGCGTTTTTGGATTATTGGACAATCTTTGGGCGAGGATTGGCATTTTTGTCGGTCCGTTTCGGTACTGTATCTGTGCGTCACTTTTTATGTCTGTGTGGTTTCATCTATTTCAGTGTTGAGGTGCGTGCTGTTACAAAATGAGACCTATCGGAGAATTATCTACTGTCGACGTTATAATTTAATGTCCTGTCACTGACCACCCGTTGGAAACTTTTTATATTATGCACTACTTTTCTATAAACCCTCACGCCTGTTACTTTTGTCCCTATGTGATTCTCACCCCGCCCCAAAAAAACGCCTATTTATAATTACAGATGATTTATAAAGTTTTATTTTTGCATACGTTTGGATGTAGTGAAGCAGTGGTCTTAAGTTATTATAATATATGTTGTGTAATTAAATATTTTCTATAGCTAATATATTATACTGTAGTTTTGATGTTGAGCAGCCGTCGGAGTCAAGTTGTAATTTTGACTTTTTGGGGCTTCAGTTCTCACAATATATCGTCACCTGTAACACTTGACTTGTGCTGTTTTTGTGCGATTTTCTATGTTCAAACATTGTTACTTTGTTCTGTATGTGTTTGTTTTTGTAAAGAAAATCATATTTATTTCACTATTTTTGTAGAAAAATAACTTGATTTTGATTGTATTTTTCTAATTATATATTATACAATTTATTTACCCCACTTTTCCTCAATTATCTTACATGGAAAGACAAAGAATTATGTCAATAGGAGCGGCATCGACTTTGGAATTGTTTTAATTCAAAGGAAACAAACATATGAAGGTTTAATTTTGTTCTTGGGCGAAACTTGAGATCCCCTGTCCTTGTAGATGCTCTGAAACTTGAATAATAACACATTTTGAAAGGCTGACTAACCTCGATTCTGTGTTGTGACGTGCAATACTGTTTCTAATGTTTGTATAAAAGTAAGATCTACCGTGTAAACCTTTATATAATGCAGATTTTATTTTTTTCATTGCATATTTTGCAGATTTCTGATCCGCAGTGTCATTTTTTACAGTCAGAAAAAAAGAAACCCCTGTTTTTCATTGCAACTATTTTTAAATCCAGATATCTTTGTACTGATGTAAATGATTGTAGTTATTTTGGATAGTGTTTTGCTAACAAAACGAGATACTTTTTTTCATGCATATTATTCTAATTTCTTTTCATTTAGTTTTTTTCCCCCACTTTTTTATTAAATAGGTGCAGACTTTGCAGAATATTTTTTCATTAATTTTCTCATTGGTATTATTTTGTACTTTTATGTGAAAATACGCAATATATAATTTAAAAAAGCGAATTGCTAATATATTATTTGATTTTTTTTAAACAAAATATTTGTAATTTTACTGTTAACTATATTGATTTTTAAATATAGGTTTGTTATTGACTCACAAAATGGTTTGCTTGAATTGTATCACTGAATGGTTCTTTGATATGCAAATTATTTCTGTTTATTTTGTTTTTGTATTTAAATGGGGTGTTGAGTGCGACTTTTTGTTTCTTTCACTTCCCAAATAAAGATCCATTTTGTTTGGAAATATGTTTTTTGTAGTCCCATAATAATAACGGGTCCCCATAGATCCATGGTCCCCAACCATACTTGCACGTTCACATGGTTGACGAGAACGATGAACAGCCAATCACAATATATCTTAAGAATATATCCCAAAGTACAACACTGTGGCAGCACTCAAAACGCGCGCAGAAAGGTGGCAGAAGATTACAGATGGTGTGAAAGTGTGTCATGATCTTATGAAAAAGCGTAAAGAAAAAGATAACGCTGTAGCGCGCTACTCTCTCCCACCCTCGCTCTCCTGCCTGTTGCTAAGCAACATGCTGTAAACATGTTTGGCTAATGCATGTGCTAATGATGGCAAGTGTCAAGGGGCAAAGATTGTAAGCCTATTAAGTACCTCTTACACAGGAATTAATCTTAAAACAACGAGCCTAATTGTTACAGGTATGAGGATATGATTATTAGCAACACAACTACTTATCTTGTTGTAGGATCGAATATGGCTAGCTATGCTAGCATCAACCATGCATTCTACTCATGGATCTAGCTTCGCTAGCTGCTGTATTCTTTTAATGATGGGTGGATTAACTATTAAGTTAACCTTTAATTAAAAACAATTATTTGCGTCGGTGTCTGTGATTCACAAAGGGCTATCATACTTACTCACATCCCCAGTGTAGTCAAGTTAAACATAGCTAATTCTTTCATGGAAAAAAATCTATAATGATTTAGTAAGAGCTACTGGGGAGGAGTCTGGCTGTAGTGGATGCAAACCTGCTCACTGTTAGGACAATGATGATGTTTTATACTTTCAGTGACATAAAAGCTTTAAACATGAGACAAGTGGATGTTTGGTGGTGGTCGGGGCTCATACTGGTTACTTTTCTTATGTCAGTGTGTCCCACGGCAGCTGTGGCTACAGTGGTAGATTATCACCACTGTGTTTGGAGTCAATGAATAATGAAATGTGACGTGTCCAAAAAAAGGGTTATAAAATTGATGCATTATTATTATTATTATTATTGTTATTACAAGAAAAAAGGCTTGTATATTAGTGTAGAATATAATCGTTGTTAAATGAAGAGTATTGTAAAGGGTGTGTCTTATTATTTATTGTCAGTTGTCAGGATGCCCCGCTCAGCTGCCTCCCGTAGGTCAGTGGCTGGGCCTCACACTCACGAAAAAGAGTCAGAGGAGCCAGTCCGTTTGACTCGGACACAATGGATGGATATGTTGAAGTATGAGGATGCAGAGGAGGCTGTGGCCGAACTCATGGAGAGATTTCTCAACAAAGTCATGGATGAGTGTTTCAAGGTGGACATCAGACAAAAGGTAAAGGGTATGTCCCAAATCAAGCCCTATGGTCGTATTATTGTGTTTTTCATTCAAACCATGTGTCTTATGGGAAAAGAAAATTTGCTTCAAGTAGGCCAGGTTCTGAATATATTTATTTTTTAATGTACTCAAAAATTGTGTCTTTACTTAAAGGTATAGAAGGATTTTCACAAATGTTAGGAAAGAATTGCCCTCGTCAGAGGGAACGCCTAATAAAAGGTGTCTCTCTCCAGAATGATTGACAATTAGCAGGACCACATCCAACCGGAAGAAAAAAATCTTCCCGTTTACCTTTGAGTAAAACAAGATACTATATTTTATGCTTGTTCCATGACACAATCTTATATTGAAGGTACATGGACATCAGACAAATTTTAGGAAAGAACCGAAGAGAACAAAACTACCTGGTCTTATTTGATGGAACGCCTATTAAAACTCTCTCTCACCAGAATGATTGACAATTGGGAGGACTAATAGTCTTGATGAGCCACCCGGAAGTATATACCTTTAAGTAAAACATACAAGAATATTTTATTCAACTGTCAAGCACAACAATATTTTCTTATCCTTGAATTGTAACAAGTCATGAGACTCTAGTGAACATCAATATTGGAAGCAATGTATCTTGCCTCACGAGTCAACAAGTGATTTACCTCCTAGGTTAGGCCAAGCGGCTAATCACACCAGTCATATTTATTCAATATTGCACGAATAATATGAAATTCAAAGTGCTTTACCAAATATTACACAGTAAAAAACATCACAAATCTATTAAAAGACAACATGCTAGAAATATAAAATGTAAATGAAATGAAATGTAAAACAAAGCATTTGCACAACTTACCAAATGTGAAAATGTTAATACAGATTCTCTCTGCCCTTCAGTTGATCCCATATACTGCAAACTGGGTGAAGAATGACCTTATCCAAATAGTAGAGCAGCGTTTCCTGTGCAGAGACGAGGGAGATGAGGAGGTTCTGTCTGAGGACTCTGCGGTGGTTCCAACTGAGCCAGATGCCTGGGCTCAGGGCTGTGTACCACTAATAATCACCTCTACTCCACTGCAACCCATCCCTCCAAAGGTATACACGGCCGCAATTCAATCTGCCTGCTTGTTCAACAATTTGAAAACAAGTGTGGCGATAAACTATGAACTAAAGTTGTTATCTTTTTAAACAGGGAGATGTCCATAAAGATGCTGCCCCCAAAGAGGTTGAGGTACAAGAATGTAAAGTTTCTCAGTCTAAAGTTTCTCCAAAGTTGTCATCGAAGAAGTCCAACACTAAACCTGCTGTTGTCATTAATAGCATGCAAAATACTGTTCCCCAAACAAAAACAGAAAGGAAAAGTTACCAACCATCAATGCGTCCCAAACCGAGTAAATTTCTACCCCCATTGTCTCATTCTACAGAGAAACAGACCCCAAAGGCTGAAAAAGCTGAAGTGGAAATTAGAAAATCAATTGGTAATAGCAAGCCAGTGCCATCATCCAATCTAGTCAGCAAACATAAAACCATAACAAAGCTAGATCCTGCAAGCTTCCCTGACCACTGCATTTTTCCCAAATATGAGATTTTAGATGCCGATGCTAAACCCAGGAATCCAAGAGATTATAAACCACAACAAAAACGTGTGGAAGCTGAAAGGACACTAAAGACTCCAAGGTGTGACGTTGATGTTAGGCCAAAAAATGGAGCAGTATTTTCTTCTGAATCTGGACCAATCCGACTAGATGCTATGACTTTGGCAAAAGGTGTCACTGTCTCACAATCTGCAGAACTGAATCAAAATCTTGTTCCACAAATTCCTCTAGTGAAGCTGAAGCCTATAAGGACAGAGCCCCTGCAGTTTCGATTATTAGAAAGTCACTTTTTTTCAGACCCTCAAGTGAAGCCAATATTGTAGGCCAGACATGTGGGCAGAAATATACAGGCTCTGCTTGTGTGTAGTAGTGAAATCATTTTTATTTTATTTTATATATTTTTTTATAAAGAATGATGTTATAGAGAAACTTGGCCAAAATACTCATATCTGAGACGGAACTGTCTAATAAAATTACATCTCTGTAACTGTTGTAGTATGTTTTATTCAACTTTATTTGTGATACTCCATTATTTATTTGATGGTATAATCTCTTATGCCCCATGTATTGCTAAACCCACCCCTCGAGGCTTAATCCTTCATACATAGTCCTCTGCCAGTGTGTCAAAATAGTTTGTGTCTGCATACAGAAGGAACCCAGAAAACAGGCTGTCAGCCTGCCCTGGGTCGGTGAACAGTCCATTCTGGTTTACGTAGAAGATCTCCAACCACACTTCATCCTCTGGGTTCAGAAATATCGCAGTGGATCCTGAAGCCACATCATGGTGACCTGTGTTTGTATCAAAAGTCTTGATCCGATACTGGCCATTGTGCACTAATGCTATGGCAAGGTGCTTGTTCGCCACGCTGATGTCATAGGAGAAGTAGTAGATCCCTGGATAAGCACAAATGAACTTTCCTGTTTCTGGACTGTAATGTCCGCCTTCATCAAGTAGGATCCTGTCAAATTTGATTGGTATTTTTTCTGTAGGGTAACTACTGGTGATGGCCACAGAGAAGGCAGATTTTGGAAGCAGGCTTCCACATTTGCAAACACCTCCTGTCCCACGCCTCCCCCTCTTGCCCTTGTCACCCTTCTGTCCCCCCTGTCCTGGTTGACCAGGTCGCCCCACATCCCCTCTCTCCCCCATTGGACCCTGTTTGCCTGGAGGACCAGGGTCTCCACGCGCCCCAGCCCCAGGAGTACCAACTCTCCCCTTCAGTCCTGAAAATACAAAAATATGGGTAAATGTGATTTTCCAATTACAATTTCATTTTCATTCAATAGGAAGAGATTTGTGCATAAGTAATTGATTATTCCTGTTATAGTCTATGATTCATTTATGCCAACAAATTTACGTAAGTCTGTCTTAATAATGTTTGTCCACTTAAAACACTTTACCTGTGTCTCCCTTTTCACCCTTTTCTCCTTTTCTACCATCTCTCCCGTCCCGGCCAGGAATGCCCATAGGTCCCTGTGCCCCGGGTGGTCCACTAGGGCCAGATTTCCCTGGCAGACCTGGGGGTCCTGGGACACTACTGCAGACCAGATGAGAAGTTTTCAAAAGCTTTGACTCTGGGGGTTGGGCAGAGACACAGTGGTACAGGCAGGCTACTGTCACCAGCACCCACATGCTCAAATCTGTGGGCAAGAGACACAATACAGTTACAAGAATCCCTCATTTATATTTACATATAGTTTAATGACATGGCCACAAGCTCAGTCACAGGGGAGGAGCCAAAAATAGAGCTGCGGCTTCTCCATGTTGAGATGGCTTGGGCATCTGTTTCATTCGCGACCCAGCAACGGATAAAGTGGGAGGATAAAATGGATGGATGGATATAGTTCATTTACATGGATCAATTTATGGATGGCATGTTGATGCAGTCAATCTCAGTCATACTCCTGAGAAATCCCATTCTCAAGACACAAGAGCACAATAAGGCACATTTTGACAGATGAAGAAACTTGTAATGAAAAGCATCCATCGTGTTAAAAAAGTAAAGCCTAGCCAGAACCTTCTTCTCTCCACAAATATGACTTTTTGTTGCATGTTTATGTCCAATATAGATTTAATGTTTAATGCCGTACTGTGAGGTATTCCAGGAAAAATAACAACTTTAATAGACCTAAGCAAAAAACAGTCTTTTTGATTTGAATTAGGTATGAAATAAAATGAAAACAGCCTGCACTTCATCATGCATCCTAAAACTGCATGTTTGCCATAACTGATTTCATCCTCACCAGAATTTAATGCCTTTCACCTGTTCGCTACCTGGGTTTTGCTCTAATGCAAATAGACCTAAGCAAAACCCAGTATGCTGAATCATTCTGAGCCTATTATACAAGATAATTGTTATCATTCATCTTACCTCACAACAGTCAGCTGTTCATTGGTAAAACATCAGCCACTTAATTTCTCGAAATAGGGTTCTGAAAAATAAACTTTGGTCCAAGGTCACAGAAAGCAGATGCAGCAGCGCTCCATCCGTGACTTCCTCTTCTGAATATGAACCCACTCTCTCTGGTGAGGTGAGGTTCCTATAACAAACTGTCAACAGACAGTATGGAATGTTTCACATGAGGTCATAAGTACAGGCCCAAACAAGCCTGTTTCTCTGTTATTTTCTTAATGGAGGAAATAAGGGTCTTGGATTTTCTTCCATACAGTATGATCATATTCAAAAGCTATAAAAATAAATGGGTTGTACCTGTATCTTGCCTGATAAATTACATATTGTATTAAGAATGTTACATTGTCTGAACATGATCCAGATTGTATCTCGCTACACAGCAAAGACTTTCCTCTTGTGAATGGAATGTCTCACAATTGTATTGTTTTTTTAGGAAGCTTGACTTTCAAGGCTCAAATTCTTTTATTGTCTCCGACTCCAAAAGTACAACTTTTTCTTAGAGTAGGGGTCAGTTATCCAGTCACAAAACACATTTAAACATTCTACATACACGCATGTAGATCCTTCCATACTGAATAACTTACGCAGGATGAACACGGGTGAGATGTCTTTCCAGGGCCGGTTTCATTGTTGACTGTCCAAAGATGAACAGTCAGAATAGCGCTTTGTGTCTCCGGTCTGTGAAAGGCTATAATTACCAAAAATGAACTTTTAAGTAATTAAATAAAACTTAATTACTTAAAAATACACCATCTATAAGACATTCGTAAAATGCAACCATAATTTTACCTACTTGCTGAATTTTGAAGAATATAAATAGTAACAATAGCAATGATACTAATGATTATTAATGTTATTATTTATTAACCAAATAGGTACCATATACATTATTGTAAAAAGAAAGGAAAACAATAACTAAAATAAAAATAAAATAAATTTACTTATCTAGAGTTCCTTTATTATCATTTTAGTTACTATTATTAGTAAAAACCAAACAGCTGCCTTCAAAAACATATCAAGTCCAACATATATAGTACGACCGTTAATATAATAGATCCATGAGTACGACAAACAACAGTTTTTGTTACGCGGAGGTTGTTCTCGTAAAAGTTAAACATCCGGTAAAGGCGTGACTGCAGATTTATTGACAGCGCTTTGGGCCAATGAAATGCGAGCTGTGACTGACAGTTAGATTGATCCGCAAAGTAGGTTTCACGGTAGTTTATCTCTCGTTACTAGGCAGCAGTAACGGGGCATGTTTGCACTATGTGGGAGTACTACGTTTCTTTTGCCATTTAGCGAAGCAAAAAAACGTCTGACTCGTTTTATCATCTAAGTCAATACCAAACCATGATGCTAATGTTCAGCTAAAGTTGACACTGTGTGTGGAGCTCTCGTCTCTAACCTGCACCATGGCGTCACCTCCGATGTAAGTTTTCACAGTTTTTGTTTGCCTTTTACCTGAATATTGTTGTTAATTGCATCCCTATAGATTATCATAGAAAATGTGATGTTAAGAAAATGTGGTATCTTGTTCCTTTGCAGTGATTCTCGGGGTAAAGCGCGAAAGAAACGCCAGGAATCATTACGCAAAGATGACACCCAGGTCAGCTAACTAGTCTGATCTAATATTGATATGGCTTAAAATGGTTTGAATACTTTCTGTACTTTGGCGATCAGGGCATCTTTGTTTGTTGCGTTTGGATTTTCATGATAGTTTCAGTGGAATGCAGGCCATGTGCTCATGAATGTCTATTTTGATTGTCAGGAACCTCAAAGCAGTGATGAAGACCCAGGAGAGACTTTGAAACGCACAATCAGAGCTCAGAGACAGCGGCGGAAGAAAATGGTATCGTTATTGCATATGATTTGTTGTAATTAGATGTACGAACATTGGAATCTTACCTCCAAATCCTTGTATAGCTACTTGAACAGTCTCAAGAGGATTCTGAGGATGTTGTGGAGGACATTTCTCCCATTCAGCACAAGACTGAAGATGCTGAAGAAGCTGAGAAAATGACTGATCCACCCAGGACTAAGAAAAGTGAGCACTTCAAGCTAACATGAAAGGCTAGAATAGTCATTATTTGATTCAAATACGCCATGGAATATGTACAACACATAATATTAGTCATCTTTACTTTCTGTTGAGGTTTGTCTAAACTGCCACCTATTCCTGGCTCACAACACTTGGAGGACTTGATGACACAGAACTTGAAGGAAAAGCTTCTAGCAGCCAGAGTATGTTTTACACATTTAAGTCTTACACACGTCTCATAGCGTATTCATGCTTACGTCCGTGTTTTCAGACCAGAGTCGAGAGTCTTCATCAACAAGAATCCAGCATCAAGCCACCCAGTCGACTACAAAGATTAAAAGACCGAGAAACAATAACCCGGTTTGATAGAGACGTGAGAAATTGCAAGAATCATGATTTAAAACCATTTAATCTACACTTTTTGAAATATTACTTTGGCTCTACTTTAAAGCTTGATGCCAATGTCTCTCAATCTCTCAGCACAAGAGTTCAATTCAGAGAAGCAGCAAAAAAAGTAAAGATCATATATAACGTTATCCATTCAAAAAAATATTATTATTCTTGTAATATCCTTCATAGACTTGTATTGTATCTTTCTGTCAATAGAATGATACCGGGATCCCAACCGCTGAGGAAGCATATAATTTCTTCACTTTTAACTTTGAACCAGAGCCTGAAGAGAGTGAGGAACAGAGTAAGGAAAGCCTGACCAAAAGAAAAACTTCTTTGGAGGATGAGGACAGTGAGAGGGAGCAAGAGGAATCGGACATTGATCAGGCCAATCAAGACAAAGACCACGTAAGATATGATCGACACAGAGTATATGAATAACAACTATGACTGTATGCAGTGTGTCATATACTTCTTGTTTATTTTGATAATGATTTTGTAGAATGAGGAGGCCCCCCTTGTCCAAGGAGACGACTTATTTGCGATCGAACAATCAACACAGGACTTTATTGTGGTGAAGAAAGCTCAGTACATCAGATACCACAAGCGTCTTCAACACGAGAGAGAGCTGCTCTTTACACCCAGTTTACGACCAGGTGATTACGGTATTTTTAAATGATACCTGTTTGATTTCCAAATACGGCCATTTTTTGTTTTGAAAATGAGCCAAAAACATTAATACTTTTTTTTTTTACAAACACTAAATGACACTTTTAAATGCTAATTGATATCCCCTTCTCCCTACCCGCCCTGCACACTCATATTCATACGCACAAAATTAAGCAAGAAATGTTGGACCACAGAATGATATTTTGCGTTTTTTCCATAGTTCCAACATCTGTGAAACTACCTGAGAACATTAAGCCACGCTATCTGGAGGACGAGGGTCTGTATGTAGGAGAGAGACCCCCTGTTTCCTTCACCAATGAGAACATTTTCGAGAATCGTCTTTTAAAATCTGTGGAGGTAATACCGGCACATGTCATTTTTTTCTTTCCTCTGAATATAATATCATTGTTACTGTGTAAAGGGGAAAAAATGGTTTGGTGACGATGGCAGGATAAAAGCATTACCAAATCCTATAAAAGAATCATCAACGCGACCCCCTCTGTTTCATATGGAGGAAGATCTGGACCCGGCACTACAGACAGTCTTTAGGAAGGTAATGTTGTAAGAGGAAAGTCACATGCAGTAATAATGAGATTTCACAGGTGTAAGGACAAAAATTACACGTAAGTATCAATAGTTTGTATGACTGACGTGTAATCATGTGATGTGGCAGCCATTTTTGTTTCTATATCATTTGCAGCCAGTAATGTCAAAGCCAGAGAATGTGTACTTTGCTGGGGTGGGGGACTCTGCCGGAGACTTCCAGTTGGATGTTGATGTCTCTGGACTGATCTTCTCCCATCATCCCCTGTTCAGCCGCGAGCACGTGCTGGCGTCGCGTTTAGTCCAACTCTACGACCAGCACCTCAATAGGCAACACAATAACCTCACAGGATACCTCAGTGAGAAGGTTCGCATTTAGAACCTGCGAATGATCGGGCCTGTTTCATGTCTGTTTCATGGTTTTGTGCTTTGGTTTGTTATAGTTGAAAGGACTGAGAACGGCATTGAAAAATATGATTGAGATTCACGGGACAGAAAATGTCACAGAGGCTTTGCAGCAGAGATTTTTAGAGTACAGCGTGGAAGTCAAGTAAGTATAGCAAAGGATTTATTCTGTTTGTACCGTCCTCAGGCATTTTTGACGATTGTAAGGATGCGCAATTAATCAAAATGCAATATTACACTCTACAATTACAAAAATGGCATCATAGATAGAACAATTATTTGAATAAAATATATTGTGCCATGTTTTTCACTCAAATATTTGCTTGAAATAATTTATTGTGTATGTGCAAAACTAACATAATAGTTCTAAGTTGAAATGTTTGCATTGTTTTTGAAGAGTATCCATGATTTTTTTGTATTACTAAAATATCCATGTTATTTTTTGGCTATCACACAGACGTTATAAGATAGACTTTATAGATCTCACAATAGAGCTATTTACATGTCACATTTGGCATAAATATTATCACTCAGGTTGTGCAAAAGACAGGAAAAGTGCAAACAGGAAATGTGAAAACATGTTAAGAAAGTGCGAAATATAGTTTTTTTCGTGCTATTGAGTTGTTGCCGTAGTAGTGATGAACGTATTTGAGAAAATTGTTGATTCTTTTCTAGTGACACCCGTCAAATGCGAGACCGTGAACAGGAGAAGGACAGGACTCTGTTGAAGAATATTATTAAAGTTTGGAAAGACATGAAGGCCCTGAGAGAATTTCAAAAATTCACCAACACACCATACAGACTGCAGCTCAGAAGGTGACCATAATTGCTGTAGTTATATTTTGTCGTTTGATATAATTGTTGTGCTTTAAGGCTGTCTTTAATGCTTTACCCCACTTGTGCTGTTTTGATAATAGAGAAAATGTAGACCGTGGCTTGGATGAGCAGGAGTATGAGGGAGAAGTCCTGGCAGAAGTCATAGAGTTGGAAGCAGAGGCCGACCAGGAGTACCAGCGAAAGATGGCGGACTACAGGACTCAGCTGGAGAAGTGGAAACTATGGAGAAGAAAGCAGGTGCAGTATACTCATGACAGAGGACATTTTCATCTGACTAATACTGTTTGTATGGTAGAGTTATGGATAGACAATCCAACTTGTTCCTGGCTCTAAAAACAGTTTGGTTCTATGACTAGTTTTCACATATATTTTTGGTCTCTGTCAAATCTTTAGGTCAAATTTTTCAGTGAAATTACCTGCTCTCTGTATGCAAAAGAAAATGTTTAATGTTTTATAATTAAAACAAAGACCGCATGCTGTGGTCTAACAAGACTATTTCTGTCGGGACAAACCAAATCCACATATATATTTTGTGCTTACAGAAAGGTAAAAAGAAGAAAACTAAAAGGAATGCTGCAGCTAACTCAGAAGATGAAGACATGAGTGAATCTGAATCAAATCAGGAAGAGCCTCTTCCAAAACCAGACCCTCCAGAGAAACCAGACATTCAACGTTTGGAACAGACTGTGAGGGAAAAGGCATCAAGGATACGCAGAAAACCTGGAGAGCCCATCCTGATCCCTGAGCTGTCGGCATCTGGCAACATCACAGCCACTGACCAATGCCCTAGGTATGAAAAAATGTCTCTTTCTTCTTCTGTTGCATATAACATCAACAGTCTCTTCAGAAATGATTATGTATCCAAAGTATAGTTACTCATCTTCATGTTGTTTTGTTTTTTGAACATTTAACACTAAAAGTTATTTGGTTGAAAGTTATTTCAATGAATATGATTCTGATGATGATTTTGATATTTATGTATTTTTCTATTTCATTTAGAGCTGAGGTTTCTCGAAGGACAGATGTGGGAAGGCGCACTCTGTTTGTCAAAATTATCTATAATGACAAAGAAGTGTCAAGGACCGACAGCTGTGCCCTCAATTCTGACTTCAGGGTGCATTTTGGACAAATTTTCAATCTCAGAATCATCAACTGTCCCCAAAGCATCTGTCTGCAGGTACAGTAGATTCAGATTCAGATTCCGTTTGAAGAAGATGACAAAGTCTGGGATCGCGTCTTAAATTCAGACAGAAGACATGTTTTATTGTCGATGGTAGAGACAGCACGAACAACAGATACAACAGAATGCAAGTGTATTATACAGAGCGGAGGCATGGAGACCTCCAATCAGCAGCTGCCACGGTGTGCTTGTAGCTTGGCCTTCAGATAGACAAAACAAGGGAAAAGTACTGGCTTCTGCACATTGATAGAATGATGAGTTTAACTTTAATAAAAGTTGCTTCAAAGTGTTTTGAAATCTCACATTCCCCCCTCTGGTCATACATTTACGTGTGACCATCAGGATCGATAAACAGCAACATAACATCATAACTCAATACTTCAAAAACTCATAAACTCGGTACTTCACTCGGTACTTCAAAAAACTCAGAACTCGGAATACTTAAAAAACTCAGAAAACTCATAAAACATGTTCAGATCTTTCATAAAACTTGTCAACAATCTTCAGTAAAATACCAAACTTCATCAGTCGATGGTGGTTCCAGATATTGCTTTGAAAACAGTCTCTCCCACTTTTCCGTGTTGGTTTCTTCAGGCTGCATTTGTGTCGAGCCATGAATTCTTCTGTGACGTGTCTTTCAATCACACGTTTCAGCTTTAGTGTCCAGATTCAGCAATTCAATTCAGTCCAAATTATGTCCAAATTCAGAAATCCAGATTGTTCCAAATGATGTCCAAATTGTGTAATCCAATTTTTCCAAATGATGTCCATGCAAAAGAGGACGCTGGTATTGTCCATGTCTCAGCAGCTCACAGCCTGACTGGAATCAGGGGCTGTGCAGATAGTCCAAGTGTGCTGGTCCAGATGCATGGTTTCATTTGAGGTTTCTCAGTTTTGGCTTAAAAAAAAAAAAAAACACTTTTTGTGTAAAAAAAAAAAAAGTCTTCTGTTCTCTAGATGTTACAGACAAGGCCCGCATCCTTCCACCACCTGAAGAAGATGACAAAGTCTGGGATCGCGTCTTTAATTCAGACAGAAGACATGTTTTATTGTCGATGGTAGAGACAGCACGAACAAAGCACACGATCACAGATACAACAGAATGCAAGTGTATTATTCAGAGCGGAGGCATGGAGACCTCCAATCAGCAGCTTCCACGGTGTGCTTGTAGCTTGGCCTTCATATAGACAAAACAAGGGAAAAGTACTGGCTTCTGCACATTGATAGAATGATGAGTTTAACTTTAACAAAAGTTGCTTCAAAGTGTTATGAAATCTCACACGTTTATTTGCCATTTGCAGTAAAAAAACCACATTGGAATACATTAGCAAAAGTCACCAGTGTGCACAGACAAATACAGACATAAAACAACATTAAAAGTACTCATCTGTGTGGCTTTTGTATTACCAAAAATTACACTTACATTATTCCACTCTACAGCATTTACTAGTGCCATTTGTATGTTGTTTAATCTTAACACAAAGTATACATTTTGTGTCCCAGGTGTTTGAAGAGGGTGGTGTGCCCTGCTCTTTACTGACTCAGGTCTTCATCCCGGCCCCAGATCCCTCCGTTCTGACTGGTAGCGCTCTCATAGAGAATTTTGAGTTCAGCAGCAACCAGAGAGTCATCTATGACCACGAAGGAGTGGGAAGTGGTCAGTTGGGTGTTTTATTTTCTTCCCTGCAATATCTCTACTTGTTTAATTTATCTGCTCATGTTGTCCCAGATGTGCCCCTGTCCTTTGAGGCAGATGGCAGTAATAAAGTCACCTTATTGACGTCTGGAAAACTGGCGTGTTGCGTTTCTTGGGCCATTGGCGATGACGACGTCCCTCTGGCTCCTCCCGTCTCACAACAACATGGTAGAATACACAGGTACTAATTAATTTCAGTCTTTACTTTAAAAAAAATGGATTCTGAGATGACTGCTTTTGGAATAATAATATTTTTTTCATCAGACTTAATATTAACTTTGCATTTTAACTGTTTCTTTAACTGTTTTTTAAATGTGCGTTTTTTCTTGGACACTCAAAGACGCTTTACAAAGTTAATAAGCACTGCTTGTTATCTCAAATACGAATTGATCACAAGCTAACTGTGTTTTAGTGGCTTGGGACACCTAGATGCCGTCTCGTCTATTGGAGCATCTGGGTTGTACGACTTGAAGAAAATTGGCGAATGGGCAAAACAATCACGGCTGGATCCCAACGACCCAAAAAATGCCTCCATCATGCAACTTTTGAAAGTAGGAGTCCTCGTATTCATACACACAGCTCATTCTACTACCAGCAAATATGACTATACTACTGTAATAATCCATAGGTTGCGAGTAGTGGAGAGGTGACCGCTCCCGACTACTTCAGGCTCGAACAGTTGCAAGAAGAATTTAACTTTGTCGGTGATGAAGAGTTGGACAATTCAAAAAGATACAAACTGCTGAGACTCAGGAATCAAGGTGTCCCAGAGTTCAGGAATTATAAATTTGTTCCGGCTCTGGAGAGGGAGGTGTCTGATAAGGTTTTTCAGGTCAGTCTGTACCTTTATTTTAACTTCATCATTACAGATATCTTGTATTAAACAATCCTGTTAAATATGACAGGATTATGAGAAGCGATTGAAAGAGGGGGATGTTGTCGACACCAAACAACATCTGGATTCTCATCGGGCTTTTGTGGCCTCTTACCTTAAAAAGGTATGTAAAAATAGGTTTGCATATACTCATGATAATACATCATTTGCTAATTTGCAGTATGGGTTGTTTTTGCAGATCAGAGAATCAGTCTTTAACAGATTTCTTCTGGCTAAACATCACTACCTGCTAACAGACCTGGTTGTAGAAGAGGAGATTCCCACTATTGGGTAAAAACTAAAATGTATACTAAAATGTAGTTTGCAAAAAAATGTATAAGCACTAAAATGAACTAAAAGTATAATATTTTTACACATCAGTCCCTTTATTTTATTCCATGGCAGTAGTATATGTTCTAACTCGTAATTCATCTTTTGTGCAAAGGGATGTGTGGCCATATAAAAGGCTTGAGTGCGTTTTGAGCGTGTTGGGGAAAATGTGATGTAATTTGAGCTTCTTTGTGATATTCTTTTTCCAGTGGGGCAGGTGCTGGGTATGTTTCTAGCCTTTTCTTTTCTCCCACTGTTAAACCCACAACCCTAGTTTGATCCGAAATGCAATACGTTATATAGAACTAGAATAGTTGGTAAGTACAGTGAAACCCTCTCCCTAGTGACCAACCCTAGTGCAAATTTTAAATAGAGAAATTATGATGTGAAAAGGTGTTATTGTTAATGGATTTTCAGATGAGGAAGTTCAATTTGAGTTTTTGCGGTTTTCCTCAAGTTGTGGCAAATGTTTATTTTAGATTGCTGGGTATAAACATTTTCAAATTGGCCGAACCCAAGCGCCCGCTTAAGCCACAGAGAAAAGAGAGGAAGAAGGTAACTGCACAAAACCTTTCTGACGGAGACATCAAACTGCTGGTCAACATCATCCGGGCCTATGACATCCCTGTGAGAAAACCCCACAGCAAGTAAGCAACGAGTAACACTGAGAGAGAGAGAGATCAGATTCATCCAAAACATTGTTTTTTAATTTCAGTAAACCAGCACCAGTACAGACCTCTCAGGCTGACCTTTATCAGGTAAAGTCAGTGAAACTCGGTCCGTTTGTGAAGTGTTGCAAATGAATGTAAATGTGCAGGTTCAGGTGCGGCCTTTCGTGGAGGTGTCGTTCCAGCGTACGTTACTCCAGACGACGACCGCAGAGGGACCAAACCCCAGCTGGAACGAAGAGCTTCAGCTTCCATTTAGGTGCAGATTCAAATATATTCCGAAAAATGTACTGTAAATAGTAGGAGTATAAACGAAAATAAAGTATTAACTCAGAGCTGTAATACAATCAAAGTGGATTTGTATTAATTTAAATGTTATTACATTTAATAGGTCATCAAACCGTAACCCAAACCACCTGGCAGTGCCCTTTGAGCTTGTCTGCCTCAATCTTTACATTAAATAGTCAACAGTAATCAAACAGTATCTACTTAAGATATAAAATAAATGAAGTCACCATTTGATATGTGTAACTCAAGACTGTCCCAGTTTCTAATCACCAGTCTGATATTTGAAACTGTTTTGACCTGGCACACATTGGCCTTTGAGGACTTCTTAATAACTTACTCTGTTGAGTATTTAATGTTAATTCATAACACATACATTCAGGTTGTAGTAGATGTTTAATGAGAAGACAAGGCTTTTGTTTGTTTTATTATTTTCTATCCCCTGGCTTTTGCTCAGTTGTTTATATCTGTCCATAACATGAACTATGGACATTATATGTTTTTGTTGCAGTGCTCCAAATGGAGACTATAGCACTGCAAACCTGCAGTCTGTCAAAGATGAGGTTTTTATCAACATTTTTGATGAAATGCTTCATGAAACCGGACCAGTGAGTAACAAGATGTAATTTATACATTTTGAAATATGTTTCCTTTTTATTAATTTGATGTGTATGTTTGTTTGTAGGGTGATGGTGAAAAACAAAAGTCCATCCACACTCGTTTTGAGAGGCACTGGTTGGGTTCAGTCAAGATCCCCTTCAGCACCATTTATTCTCAGTGCAAGGTAAGGAGATTTGTCATTATTGTGTGTGTGTTTTTGTATTCATATTTTTAACATTATATAAAAGCAATGTGCCCTTTTTTAGATTGAGGGGACTTTCAAAGTGAACACGCCGCCTGTGCTGCTGGGCTACAGTAAGGAGCGCAGCCACAATCCGAATGGAGGTTATGACTTAACTGTGAGCGGAGGAGCGTTCATCAGTCTCTTCATCACCATCGAACCTCAGCTCGTGCCCGGAGAGTCCATACGGGAAAAGGTACTGAGTGCCTGCAATGTGGTATATTACCTCTCAAATGTTCTTGTTTAGCTTAGCAACAAAGATTTTCTAATTATTTAGTTGAGCTTGTCTTTGGGAGTCTTCATCTTCACCTCATTGTAAAAGTATAGATTGTAAAGAGGGTATTGGTAATGTCAACCAATACATTTACAAATACATACAATCTAAAGCAAAGTGTTACATGCTAGAGCCATGTCTTTATGATGTTCTTAAAAAAAGATACCTTCACCAACAGCCTAACTGTTCTACTTGTCCTTTTTAGATTTTGTTTAAAACCTTAATTAATATATTTATTGTAATGCCTTCACACTCCAGGGGTAGGCCAATGTTGAGATTGGGTTTGTGTGCCTGAAGGATTGGTGGTAGCCCAAGAGTTTAACTGCGCAAATTCGTAGCCTCGCTTCTGTCAATCTACCCCAGGGCAGCTGTGGCGATAATAGTTTACCACCACTATGTACGAAGTGAATAAGTAATGCCATTGTAAAGTGTTGTTAGTGTCCAAAACGCACTGTATATGGCTGATGCAATAACCTAATAATTTGGTTTTTTTTGCATGCTACTACTAACATAACCATTTCATAATGATAAATTCATTCTTCTATTTTGATTTTTTTTATTTTGCTTTTATGTTAAATCATGCATTCTTTTTGTTTTGCTTGCTTCTTGCTCTAGTTAAAGGAAGTAGAGGTAATTCTCCATAAATTGTTGAACCAAATAAACCCAAATGATTTACGGTACTTTCATGATTCCTTATTGCTGTCTCATATATTCAGTTTGACAGTCAAGAGGAGGAGAGTTTGCTCCTGGCCACAGAGAGGTTTGAGAGAGAAGCCGCCCGCAGTCACCCAGACAGACCCTGCCTCACCACCGTCATAGACCTCAATGGAAAAACGGTCTTCATAACTCGCTACATCAAACCTCTCAATCCGCCGCTGGATCTGATTTCTGACACGGCGATGTCCATGGTGCGTTCCAATAAAACTTACAAGTTGATGGCAAGTCTTTTCCATCACCATAACCTTGTGTTGTTTCTCTACAGTCTATGGTGGCCCGGTTTGTGTCACTTATCCCATCATTGCCCGATAGAGTTTCATTCTCTGGTAATTGTGACCTCTGGACCACATGTGATGTAAGTAATGTATAACTTGTTTTTGTTGCTAAATATAGTTCCTCCACCAGAAGACTTTCATTTTGTCCCTTTAATGTAACTACAAAATACAAACAATATGATATTTTGTATGTATTTCTTGATTGTTTTTTAGCAATTTCTGACATTCCTGGCTGGAGATGAGGAAGAGCACGCTGTTTTGTTGTGCAATTACTTCTTGTTCATGGAGAAGAGGGCCTGGCTCGTCATTGGCACCGCTATACCAGAGGTGGGCTTTTCTGTTTTCCTGTGGCAATAAAAAAATGCACCAATATTGCAAAAATAGATTGCTGGTGAAACGCAGTTCAAAAGTTCATTTATTTCTGCAATTCAATTTAAAATGTGAGCCCAATATGATACTTAACTTCACTTTTAGCCCAGAGCCTCATGCTGCTAATATGTACAGAAGTTTTGTCATTACTGTGAATATTTGAACCTTACTACCTCAACATTCTTGCACTAGACGCTTGTACAGGTTTATCTACAGTATTATTTCTTGAGAAACTCTGACTCACTACAGAACTTTAAATCACTTTCCTTAATTTTGTGTTTTGAAAAGTGTCTTTGAGTGTCCAAAGTTGGATGTATTAGTATTTCTTTGCACTAGTCTTTGTTTCTTATGAATCTAAAGATAGAGTTGTGGTGTACCTAATATTCACTTATCTTGTGTTGCATCACAAGTTCTGTAACATGTGATGCAACACTGAAATATCCCACTGTGGAACAAATAAACAATCTCCTAATCTTTAAAATAGACTTGTTTTTACAATTTTACAAAGCTTGCTGTAAGATTATACATTATATTACACCTGCATCTATATTGCAGACTTCTGTATTGACTGTTTTTGTTGATTTGCAGGGACCCACAGCATATGTACTGACGTATGATCAGAGTCGTTATTTGATCTGGAATCCCAGCAGCGGACAGCACTACGGCCAGTACGACACTTTCTGCCCACTTAAGGCTGTGGGCTGCTTGGTCGATGCTCACAATGTACGTGATGTTGCAAATATTTTATAATAGTAATCTTTTGTGGTATTATTTTCTTAGTCAGTTTTATTGTGTTTTTGCTATAATCTCAACAACAAAAACACTTGCCATATAGTATAAATGTTATTATAAAAACATTTGTATTAATGTTTGTATGCAATTGTAGGTTTGGTTTAACGTTCAACAATACAGTTGTCCAACAAGAATTAGTTTCGACACCTCAAAAAACAATTTGTGGCGACCATTTTTCTCCCGGTCTTTCACTCACCCAGGTCTTTCCAGTGTTCAGGTAAGGATTTATTTAATATTTGTTATCAAGTAACCTCTTGAGTTGGTTTAATATTTCCCTTTTTATATATTCTGTAGCCAGAACAGATGATGTACCACAACACTGACAAATCAGCTGTCGCAGAGCTTCAAGACAGGCAAGTCCACCCCAGCATAGATGGGCAACGTTAGACTGTTTCTTGCAAACATGGTTACAGTAGTTTACTGGTTATGCTTGTTAGTACAGTAGATTGTTGGCAATAAATGTTTGAGTTATGAATATATTTTTTTCCAGGATTGAAAAAATCCTTAAGGAGAAAATAATGGAGTGGCGCCCCCGTCATGTCACACGCTGGAACCGGTTCTGCTGCAGTGCACTCAAACAGTTCCTGCCCAAACTGGAGAAGAGCAGTGGACAGGACCTTGTTGAGGGACACCGGCACGATCTGCTGACTCTGCTGGGAGATCACAAAGTATGCAACAGTACACATGATTGATAACATACTGGGTTTGATTACAACCTTTTTAGCTTGGCTATAAGATGAATATGAACTGTGAATGTAAAAATGACTGGTCTATGGATTTGGTTTATGCTAATCTAACGTATATGGCTTCACCATTTCAGATTTCAGGTTTCCCTTTGAATTTGCCCTTCTCTGAAATCATGCCCATCATTGAAGCAGTCCACAGCACCGGCGTTCACAACATCCAGGCGCCCAAAGTGGAGTTTGCTCTGGCTGTGTACGTTCACCCCTACCCCAGCAACGTGCTGTCCGTCTGGGTCTATCTGGCTTCACTTATCAGGGACTAAGCATCAAGAGCAACAAGTTTCGTCTTGGGTTTTTTTAATAATTGTTTTTGTAATGTACTGAATTTTGATATTAAACAAATACTGCAAGTCTGATTCCAAGTGACTTTATTGCTCTGCTTGTCAATGTAGGCATCATGCACAACACCATATTACTGCAGACTAATTATAGATGGACACAGGTATCGAAAGCTGAAAGACTTTACCAAATCTGAATATTTATCCACTTCCATGGAGTGCTTTATATGAATAACTTTTGCAAAAGATAAAAAAAGACAAGGAAATGATCAAAACTGTAGTCCAGAAAGGGTACTTATCTATAGTTGTTGTATTGTAATTAAAGTAATCTTGAGGTATTGTACAGGATTATAATCCCACATACTACAACACAGTTGGTTATCAAATTATAGGACCAACAGTCAAGATCTCTATACCTAATGTTTAAATCCATTCTGACCTTTTTATTAGGTACATTTCTATACAGAAGAAAAGCCAATGATGAACTAATGGGCGAAAGTGACAGGTGTGGGCTTTAGTGATTGACAAATCAACACAAGCACTTGGCATGTACAATTTGTGTATTTTAACGTTCCCAAACAATTCTTGTATTTACATTTGAACTTGCACTTCAAATTCAATAATTTCTATGGTTCAATTCTATTAAAACACAGAATGTAAATATTAGGAGATAATTACAGTTTCATTGGGAAACCCAATGAAAACAGTTTAGACCAAAGGGTATTTATTTGTAGTGCAATAAAGTGCAATATAACATGACAAACATGAGGCGACAATCACTCCCCAGAACGGCAGCATGCCCTGAAGCCACACTGGAGGTTCTGGCAACCGCTGGCTGTGTCAGCAAGAGGACCTACGGAGAACACACCAGTCAGGAACCGGTAATATACTGCTAACTTAACCAGGAAATACCAGAGTATAGTCTACCTCGGCTTTGTCTGAGCAGTTCAGAAACTTAAGACTTCATGTTGGCTACAATAAGGGCTGCTTACCTTGTACTTCAGCATTGCTGTGAGGGCTTGGTTAATATTGCACGTCAACAATCATTCAACAGTTGTTCATTTACAATAGTAAGAACCACTCTCCAATGAAGAGCATAGTGGCACTTCTGATTAGACTACTTGTTAATTTGCTGTGTACATTTCCCATGAGGCGTTACCGTTGATATTGTCGCAGTAATAGAAGTGCTCATCCTTCAGCGAAGGACAAGCAGACACCAGTTCTTGAAGCCCCACCTCAGTGATGAAGAGGCAGCCAGACAGATTGAGATGCTCCAGTACAGGGAGCCCCCCACGCTGAGATAGGGACCTGGAAGGAAACAGCAAGTGAGACAGGAGCTCACTTTATACAGCTCCTGACCTGTGTGTCTCTATAAACTACATGTGAATTTGTGAGAGAGGTCAGAAGACAAGAGCCTTCAAGACAAAGGACAACAAGGTTTAACTTTTTTTTTTACAATTAACCTCACACCATCTGACTTACATTGCGGCTCTGTATTTGTGCACCTTTTAGTCATTAATAGTTTTTCTCTCAGAATAACTATTAAAATAATTACTGTACAATACAGTGTTTGTGTCCTTTACCTGAGCCCAGCGTCTGTGACTTGGTAACATCCAGAAAGACTGAGAAACCTCAGCGAGCGTTTTGAATGTTCAGTCCTGTATTCCTGCTGCAGACACTGTCGGACTCCAAAAGAGGAGCACTTAGTCCGAAAATCAACCGTGCCATTTCTGCAGGACTCAGTCTGTGGCTCTGAAAACGTCCTGAGAGCCGAGTCACTGCTGCAGCAGGTGGAGTGACCGCAGAGCACATCCGCAGATACAAACTGAGGGTGTAAATACGGCACAGAGCCAGTCCTGAGCATCCGTCTCCTGCAGCAACAAGAACTTGACACCAGTTGAGTTTGAACAAAATGATCCTCTTCAGGGGCAGACAGACGGCTCCACTCTGCTGCGTCCTCTATGTCGGTCAGGTGGGAAGAGTCCAGTACCCACACCTGTGACGGGCCGCTCCTCTGCTTGAAGATGAACGCCTGACGCCTCCTCATGGCCTGGTGGAGGCTCCTGTCATCCATGAGGGAGATAGGAACAGGGGGAGCTTTGAGCAGCTTGCCTCGTTGGTCGGGATAGTTCTCAGAAACGTAAAAGCCCTTTCCCAAACCCACAGACAGTTTCTTCAGAGTGTAGTCAGAAATCTTCTCACAACCAGACAGGTCTAGGTGCTCCAGAGAATGGCAGGCTCCATAAAAAGACCAGCTGAAAGATAATGCAACAGAGGAGTTATTAGTACCATTATCAGAGGTTGTTGTTTTAAAATCAACATCTTCATTGGTTCATTCTTTGAGTCTAAGGGTAGATTTAGAGTTGGGGTTTTTTTTTGATTGAATGATAACTTTATTACAGTTTAACACCACCTTCCAAATGTCAGGGGACAATTTAAGACAATTCAAGTAAACTTAGAGCATAATACAAGTTGAAAAGTTGTGCCTAGGACCAATTCCTTTAGGTCAGATCAAACGTTTCAAGTGTGACCCGGATGCCATTTGTGTTTAAAACCAATTAATATGAATGCGTTGTCTAGAATAGCCTCTGGCGAGTTTGGACTTACCTATCAAAAGCAGAATCAGTTACATCTGTCTGTGTCAAGTCCAAGAGAGATATGTTTGGGCAAAGATTCAGGATTTGACGAACCTTATAAAAAAATAAAATCATTAATATTCAGACACAGAGCAATTCATTATTATTATAATGATCATCATTAAGAACACAATATATTGAGGTCCATAGACAAATGTTGTTTAAGTGGCGCATGTTGCCACGGTTACATACCATTTTACTGGAGACTGTAGAGCTGTATGCCAAAACAATAGACTTGACTGAACCTCCTACAGCTGGTAAAAGATGGTGGATTAGGTCGTTCAGAAGTTTCTTTTCCCTCTGAGCATTAGTGATGGCTTTATAACTATCCGTTTGGCCCGATACATCTTAAAAGAAACACATACCGTGGATTAGTTCAGGCCAATTGTATAACCTCCGCCACACCTAGCTTTTGAAATGTGGAACGCACTCTTAAAGGGCTGGGCATGTTAGAATAAAGACTACATAAACAAAACATACCAGACAACTTACCAGACTCATCCACATCTGCATCCTCGTCCCTCTCCTGGTAGGCCAAACCCTCCTTTTGGCAACTCTTTACCCAGTCATCATCAGGTTCCTGGTCTTGATCTGCAGGTGGGCCATTGTAGTAGTCTCCTGATGACAAAGCATTGAGATCCAAAATGTTCTGAGTCACCACGATTCATTATAGAGTATATCAACTATCATATATCAGCATTGTTGTATAGTTTTACCTCTGGCCCACCGGACTGGGTAGAGATGCCTCCAAAGTGAACCCGTCTTGGCAAGTTCCGACCAGGACCTGCACACCTGGCTGCAGCGGCACAGATCCTCCGGGCCCAAATAACGGAACAGCCTCAGCATGATCTCTGTGGGCAGCTGGGAGATGTGTGCCTGAGCATTTCTGTCCACTTCAGAGGGAAAATTTCAGATATATAAACAAAAAAACTCACATTTGAATCTAAAGCATTACTTGAGGGGTGACTATTACCATAGATGATAAGTAAGGCAGTCTCAAGCAGTATGAAAAAATACAAACCATAATCAGCTTTTTCATGGTCAGAATATTTGAAAGCCTTGTGCAGCTCCTCCGCTTGGCTCCACAGACTCAGACCCTTCAGAACCTCTGCAGAGCTGTCCCACTGCTGCTGGCTGCTGTGCTGGGCAATCACCTGCTTCTTTATGTCTTTGAGCTCCTCATATGAGAAGTACTCCATGAGCATGGGCTGAAAAACCTGCAACAAGTAGATTAAGAAAAGTAGTTTAAAAACACAACTGAAATATTTAACCATGTGTCTTTAAAGGATTAAAAAACCTCTTCTTCTTCTTTCATGTGAGGGAGAAAGTCTTGAGTGAATGCTTCAAGTCTCTCCTTTAGTTGTTGGGCGTAGTTCAGCTGCTCGTATTCATTCTGAAAATCAAGCATGTCATTTAATTATATTTATTCAGCGGTGCTATTTCTGAGCCATTGTTTGACACTGAGTGTGCCTTTTGCCCTCAAGAAATAACAGGAGCAGAATTTCACAAGCAAGCAAGCTTGTGCAATTCTTGCAACAATAACAATAAAGGAGACGTACAAAAAAAACTACAATTTAGAAGAATTAACTAAAATAGATGCATAAACTATTAACTCACCTTCACATTCTGTAGGCCTTTCTCAAAGAGAGAGAGCATCTCTGAGAGCTTGTTGTCAGAGTGTACATTGTATACAGTGCAACAGCGCTGCTGCAGCAGGTTGATTATATACTCGTTCTCTATTTGTTCATGCATCTTGAACTCCTTAAAGGTGGAACATAGGGATTGTAGGAAAGAGCGGAAATCATTGTTGTTGGAGAAGTTGGTTTGTGATAACTGCAAACATAAGAAGTTCGATATACAGTATTAAAAAACAATACAGTTGACAAAAGAGGCCACATTTGCAAATAATAAAGATCCTGCAGTATCACAAAGCAGTAGTAAATAAGTAAGCGTTTACATACACCAAGCTGCTGGCTAGTGCTTGTGCGTATAATCCTACATACACCAATTGCAATGTGTATTATACAATGTAAGTGTAATCGTGGCTGCTCTAAATTTTAAACTCCAATTTCACAAACAAGTGCATTCGTAAAACGGTTAAGTAAAACCGTCGCAATGTCAATATTTCAGCCTCAATAAAACTGCTTACTGACATAACGCTCAGACATTATTTATTGCGTTACATAAGAATCACGTATGGTGCCGAGCAATTAGTTCTGTACAATCCAAAAGGTCATTCACGCAGTTGCCAGTCGTAATATGTAACTAAAGTGTTCAGTTAACTACTTATAGTGACCATCCTGTGTTATTACACGGTTGTAATGGAGTGGCGACACAAACACCCCCCGCAGTTATGTCCTGTGCAAAGCAGTGTGCGTGTGCGCTAGTTAGCATGTTAGCACGTTTGTGTATCTCATGTGAGGGTTTAGCTTCATTGATTCCTTCACAAACGTCAACATTAAAAACTCTTCTTTCACTGCACTTACCTTCTCGCAATATAGACCCACGAGCTGCTTCATTCGCCAGTGTGGGCCAGTAAAAACATCTACTTCGTCCGGAAAAGGTGCCATCTTCACTGTTCAGTGCGTCATCTGGACTGACGCTGATACAATCTGGAGGCGTGCACGTCTCAGTCACGTGACCAACTAGTTGTATTTATTATGATTTTGTTTTTATTTATTACTTGTTATTTTTGAATTACAAGCAAACAAATAAAACAAATACAATAAAGTACAAATATAATCATGCCTTATTGTTGCTCATTAAAAAGCATATTTCTCTCACTCAGTATGTTACTTAATTTCGAGAGAAAAACAAAATTACAGTCATTTTTTTATACAGGCTTTATTAGTTTTGTTTCACGGCCGCGGTTGCTATGGTAAATGTCCACAGTAACGGCAAGCAGGCGGAGCATCTTTGATAAACATGACTGACAGTTGAAAGAACCAATAAGCTTGATGAACGAATAGATCATAACCAATGAAAATTCACATTGACGCCTACAGTTACAGTGCTTTGACAGCATGCAAGCAAATCTCCGGACAGTGGCGAAAAACACTAATGGTGAGTGTAAATGCTTTTTATTCCTGATTGCTGTACTATTTAACGCTCGGAGTAGTTGTGACGATCCATGGAAGTAGTCTGTTTTTTTGTTCAATTTGTCTCGATGTCAATCAACTGTAGCGAGAAAAAGCCCAGCGTTAGTTAGGTTAGCTCTCAAGCTACCAGAAGAATGCGTCTCCTCCTCGCAGCATCAGTCTTTTCTTTAACAAGACATACTGTATTTACGTTATTCTACTGTCCCAACTGAGGGTTGCTTTCTCAGTAGAAAACGAGATGTCTGAAATGGCAATGAGTTCTTTCTACAATGTATTGAACACATCCGAAGTTAATCTGTCAGTCATATCTTTGACATGTTTTATGTTTGTTTGTTCTATCTTCTCTCTCGCAGACCAGGCATGACGAATCTGTCACCGTATTAATATGGACAAATACGAACAAGTGAAGAAAATTGGTGAAGGTTCATTTGGAAAAGCTATTCTTGTAAAATCAAAAGAAGATGGGCATCAATATGTCATCAAGGAAATTAACATATCTGGGGTAAACAAAATCATTAACGTGTCACTCGTGGATATTTTTGTACCCAAAGTAAGTACCTAATTTTCTATCTATGTCTACAATAAAGATGTCAAGTAAAGAGAGGCAAGAATCTCGAAAAGAAGTTTCTGTACTTGCCAACATGAGCCATCCCAACATAGTTAAATATAAAGAATCATTTGAAGGTAAAATAAATCCATTCTGAACTGGCTTTGAAAAATACTGAACTCTTAAATTATTTCTAGAGGGAGGCTGCTTATACATTGTGATGGACTATTGTGAGGGAGGAGACCTCTTTAAGAAGATCAATTCTCAGAAGGGAATGCTTTTTTCAGAGGCGCAAGTAATATATCAGTCTCCATTGTACTTTTAGTAATTGTGTTGCTGCTTCTTACACGCTTCTCCTCTTGCAGATTGTTGATTGGTTTGTGCAAATTTGCCTCGCTCTGAAACACATACATAATAGAAAAATACTTCACAGAGATATAAAATCACAGGTATGACATATGCTGATAGAGATGTTATGCCTTTTTATGTTTCAAGAAAATCTTAAACCAAGCCTAACAATTTTACAGAATATTTTTTTGACGAAAGATGGAACTGTACAGCTCGGAGACTTTGGAATTGCTCGAGTCCTTAATAGGTACATCTTGTTAGGGTGTTGGGAGGACCAATACAACACGGTAAAAGCTTAATTCAATTAATGTTCTTCTCTTATTACACAGCACTGTCGAGTTGGCAAGGACATGCATTGGGACACCATATTATCTGTCCCCAGAGATCTGTGAAAATAAGCCCTACAATAATAAAAGGTACTTAAGTTATGACTCTAATTTCTCAGTTAGTCGCCCAGACACAGCGCCGCAAATGGCGAAGTGGCACGCTCTCTGCCAAAACAATTTCCAAGTGATAACTTTGTTACTCACGTGGCAATAAAAATGATTCTGATTCTGATTTGTATATGGCTTACATGGAAAATTGATTTGTGTCATTTGAGCTTAAGATTTCTGGTAAACTTGATGGTCTCCGGTGTCTAGTCTATTGATTAGATTCTGAGACAACACAAATAAGAAACTTCGTAAGGACTTTTTCCCCATTCAAAAGAGCGATAACAAAAATCTAATCATTTTGAAACTCCAAATTCTGTAATCGACTGTTTTGTGCGTAAGATGTGTTATTCCCCATTTATCCCTGTTTGTCCCTTTGTGTGTAACGTATTACTTTCCCTGATTCTCCTTCTGCAGTGATGTTTGGGCTCTAGGCTGTGTCCTGTATGAAATGTGCACTCTTAAGCATGCTGTAAGTATTTTGTGTCTGACTTTGGTTTCTGAGCTTTACTGATTAATGTAAATCTATCTTATATAACATTGCTGTGCTGACTGCTTCAACGGTTTTATCCATTCTTCTGCGGTTCTAGCACAAGGGATTAAAAAGTAGTTTTACATATCTAGTTCCAGCTTGGCAAACCCAGACCCAAGATGTATTTGTGAACTTCTTAGTCAGTCAGTGTAATTGGAAATAGCAGTTTTAATTGATTAAATACATGCAGTTCATATTTAGAGGTGCCCCTTGCTTTTCTTTACTAACACTAACTGACTCAAATGTTTTTCTTTCCATAGTTTGAGGCTGGAAACATGAAAAACCTGGTGCTGAAAATAATCCGCGGTTCATACCCCCCGGTGTCTGTCCATTACTCCCAGGAATTACGCGGTCTCTTAGGTCAACTGTTTAAACGCAATCCTAGAGAGAGGCCTTCCGTTAGCATCATTTTGGAGAAACCTTTCCTTTCCTCCAGGATAGAGCGCTTCCTCACACCACAGGTACACCATACTTTTCTTGCATTTATTCATAATGACTTTGTATATATGGCTATTACAATTGTTTCTTTTTCAGTTAATTGCTCAGGAATTTCAGCATACCTTCAATCACAAGCAGCCTAAAGCGAGTGGGGCACAGGGGCAATCAGGTATGAACATTTACTCCTAGCATCGTGAATTCTATGCACTGTGTGTTATAGCTGTCATAAACTTTAGAGAATATAAATGACATTCTTGGTTCCCATATGCATATGGTTTGAAAGGACACAACAACATTTATGCATGCAGCCATCTTACATGATCTGAACGATGACACAGGCAATATTGTGGTGGTGCTAGTGGTTTATCTCAAACAACTGTGTTTACACCATTTAATTCATAATACCAACTGAAACTAGCCAGCTCAAATGTTTTCACAGTGTTGACATGGTTTTATCCTTTGGCAAAACCATTACAGCAGTCTCCCCAAAAATTTGTTCTTCATCAATGGATAAGTTTGCTGTCTCTTTCAAATAACTATACCATGAAGTGGATAATCATTTACTACTACGTAGTTGTGTAATGACTTTCTTGCTTGCAGCACAGCAATGATCTGGCATCTGGACCCAGCGCTGATACGAATGTCACAGCTTTCTCTTACAGGAAACAGTGCAAGAGAGACACAGCATTTGCAGCCATTAAGCCATTGCGGCAGCTCTGAGATGGAGTTTTATTATAGCCGTTTTTGACATTGTTGATTATTCGAAAAGTGGTCAAGTGGTTGGAGGAACTTGAGAGAAAAACAAACAAAATCACAGTGTAGGAGTATGAAATCTGTGTCAAGGCCCTCAACGCAGAGGAAGTGCTGGCGAGAATCTTGTTGATAAGATGAAAATTCCTTTATTCGTCCCACAGTGGGGAAATTTCGATGTTGCAGCGCACATATAGGACAGTAGTAAGAGCACACAGGGAGCACACACAATATATACAAATAAGTAGTAGCTATGTTTCTTAGCTAACATAACTAGCTGTAGACGCTGAAAGGGCTTCAATACCAGTCAAAAAATATATATGTAGTAGTAGTGCAGTTATATACTGTACAGTTAAATAGTGCAGGATAATAAGTAGATAAGTAAAGTGACATGAGGTAAAGTGACATTGTTCTGTGACATTCTGAAGTTGCAGTATTGCACATTGCTCATGATTTAGAATGTACTTAATCGCAGATGAATGAAATTTACAGGCTCAGCAGTTCTTATTGTACAGTCTGACAGCAGCAGGAAGGAAAGACCTACGGAACCTCTCCTTCGCACAGCGAGGGTGAATTAGTCTGTCACTGAGAGAGAGTGTCCTGCAGGGGGTGACAGTCATGGTCCAGCATAGATGTTAGTTTGTCCAGGACCCTCCTGTCCCCCACCTGCTGCACTGTGTCCAGGGAACAGCCCAGGACTTAGCTGGACTTCCTGATGACCTTGTCCAGCTTCTTCCTGTCCCTCTCTGTGATGCTGCTGTTCCAGCAGACCACACCGTACAAGAGGCTGATGCCACCACAGAGTCATAGAAAGTCTTCAGGAGTGGCCCCTGCACTCCAAAAGACCTGAGCCTCCTCAGCAGGCTATTAGCTTATAAAAGATCAAAACAACCATCCCTGATGCTGAATTGGTTTCACCCAACCTCTAACCATGGATGGGAATAACCCTTTCATCATTCATATTCTCTGAAATATGCCTATTAAATATTATTGCCCATTTTACTTAGTTCCAATCCAGTCAGTTGTGACATCAAACTTAATTTCTTATTTTTCTGAACTCCATGTATATGATATATTAATTAACCCATTAACCCATGTTTTTTTTCTTTGCCTTTAGCTAAGCGCCCAGCTCCCGTTGCCATTCCACTGGCTCCAGCCCAGAAGATCACCAAACCAGCCTGTAAATATGGAGTGCCTTTAACCGTGAAGAAGGTTCCAGATGCCTTTAAGAAGGCTGTGGACAAGAAACCAGCAGTGAAACAAAAACAGGTATGTGGAGTTTTTCCTTGTAGTTGTATCACGGCCTCCTCTGTCTTGTAGCATCATCCATGTGCGGCTGGGGTCATGTGTGTGAAGAAAAGGGACGCACCCTTTTTGTCATGTCTGAACCACCATGTTGTATATGTTGCTCAGGCCCCTCCCCCAGCTGCCCCCCAGAGGAGAGTGAGTCAAGTGGAGGAAGAGAGGAAAAAACATGAGGTACACCAAAGAGCCCAATGTAGAAAAAATGCATCTCCGTTCCTGACCCCCCTGACCCTTTACTTAGCAATGTCCTGCATCTTCATCACATTTTGAAATGTATTGTTATGTATGTAATGTTGTTTTTAATTGACTCATGTTTTGCTTTTTCCCTGGCTTTACTTTACTTTCATTATTCATGCATTCAATTTTTTTTGTATGTAATATTTTCTTTCACAGGAAGGTATGAGGAAGAAGAGAATGGAGCTGATTGATAAGGAACGAAAACAAAGAGAGCAGGTGGATGTTTGATTCAAGTTTTTACGTCTGTTAAATTCTCTCATTAAGCAATATTCTCTTTTCTGTAGATGTTCTTATTAAAAGCAGACCAAATGAAAAGATATGAAAAGGAAAAGGTATGATGCATTGCAAATGTTTTATGAATCATTAAGGTGGTGCATAAACACACAGCGCTTAATCAGCATGATTATTATGTTGAGTTGTCTGGTAAAAGATGGTCTAAGAAGCGGACAGGCTACCACTCTCATGGGCCTAGCTCTTACATGCACACATTGCAAGTCCATCTAATGCCTAAATAATAAATGAATGAGATGTGTTTGCTACAGATCAATCGGATAAACCAGGCCAGGGAGCAGGGCTGGAAACATGTTTTAAGTTCCAGTGGTGGAAGCAGTCCAGAAAGAAAGGTATGCAGAAACTTTACCATCAGCAAAAAAAAAAAGTCCTTTGATAATAATAAGTTTAACTTTTACAGCTTTGCTATCTAATACTGTGGATATATGTACCTGTTTTCTTCATTCTAGTGCTTCATTGGTGGTGCTAAAAGGGCTTTACCCATAAGCCCCTGTCATGTCCCGAGCTCTGCCGCAGGACACCCTCCTAAAAGTTCCTATAATCCTTATGTAGCACTGGACCAAATGTCTAAACCAAAATCTGGAGATGTCTGCAGGAATGGATCTTCTGCAAGCAGTGTTGTTGGGTGGGTAAATTGAACCTCTAGTTTAATTTTTGTTTTTGGAGTTCTACATTTTAGGATTTCATGTATTGTGTCACCAGTGCCCAGTTTGCTGCTGGCCCAGTGCTGCAGCGCCACAGCCCTGACAAAGTAAACCATAATTTCATCAAACAGGAGCTACTGAGGCTGCAGCATGTTTCAAAGCAGACCCCCATACATAGGTCAGTTTCTAAAAAGAATTATATTGTATTTCAATATATTGAGTTCATAACACACACTCAAGGTTTCTAGTTTTCTTTTGTTATGATTTTTATAATATATAATAATACAATTATGATTTTTATAATTATTTATTCAAATCAAATGCTTGTATCTTATCTTTATTTAGGCATCGTGGTAACGTGCCTGCTGAACGAGCCTTTCAAGTTGAAGAGTTTTTACAACGAAAAAAAGAAGCCCTGATCAACAAAGTGCGTGCTGAGGGACAGCTGGTGCGTACCACGACATTTTAAATCTTTCCATCACACAGTAGATTTCAGTGTATTTGCCTGGCTGTTTTCATATAAACGTCCATCGAAAAACGGGACTTATTTTGCCAAATCAATGGCATCAGGATTTTGTAGTTTATAGATGTATAAATTAGTGTTAGGACTAAAGAGCATGCAATGAATTTGGATGGTGACTGTCGCAGTGAAATGTTCAACTGAAAAATAAACAGGGTTTGCGGCAAAACCTGGCAGCCATCTTAGGAAGTCGAACTGTCCGCTGCAGGAGACCTCGGGCCAACAAAGAGGAGGAGGTAGGAGTCCAGGCCTGTTATCTGTTGTCCCACTCATGGCACGTCTGGCTTGGCTGATGTTCATAACTCGACCCAAACCCTCACTAAAGTTTCAAATATGAGTTTGTTTGGCACCTCAACAATTAGTCTGGTCAGCCATCCTTTTTTTTTTCAAACAAAGGTGTCTGCTCACTGATGACCTTTTATCTCGTGAGGCCCTTAGAGTTGAAAAATACCCATCTCAAAACAGATTAAGAAAACCGTTTATAAACTACAGACCCAATTTAGAAAAAGAGCTTGACTGGCCAGATTTTCTGCTTGAAGGAACTTGTCATTTATCATAAATTCCCATTTGTGTATGTTGTGGTTTATATTCATTTAATTGCAACATCCAAGTGCATCCGGATATATACATGTTTGATATTTTTTGACCCTGTGAATGTATGCCTGTATTTTCTTGAAGGATGTTGTAGTATATTTACTGTTTTATCATGGTGTATGACCGTTGTTCATTTGTTCCAAGGAATACTTGGCACGACTCAGGCAGATTCGGTTGCAGAACTTCAGTGAGCGGCAGCAGATCAAAGCCCGGCTCAGAGGGGAGAAGGTACAATCCAGTTCTATATGAGAATAGTTTTTTTGGGCTCTGTGTTCACATTTTGGTTTATATTCCAGTATGACAGTGATGGCTCTGATAGCCAGGAGTCCAGTGAGGAGGCGGAGCTTAGGCGTAAGAAGATTGAAGCTGTGAAGGTGAGTTTACCTATTCTAGGCCGTAAAAAGTTATCTTTCCACAATTGTTTAAATCAATTTTGGTCTGCGCACTGACTGGGTCATTCTATTACATAAATATGTTTTGTTTTAAACCATTGCATTGTATAAACCCCTCATACTATATTGATATAAATGTGCAATAACAGAGATGCTGTTTTTTGCATTATGCGCTGTTCTTCCCTGGCGCAGTCAAATCAACCAACCTAAATAGTTTACTGCTCCACTGGAGAAGTGCATCCCATTTCAAACACTGCTTTTTAGCAAGCAAAGATTTTCTATGGCAGATGTCCAGGATAAAAAGAAAAGCACTCATAGAGCACAGACTTCTGCTGTTTATATACTGTACAAATGTCTATATTCAGACAGTGCTCACCTCCAAAATCAAATTCATTTTATCTCATCCTTTTTTCGAGATTTTCTGGTACTGATGTGCTGGTACCTTTGAGTTAGGTTTAACTAACTATTGGTGATTTATTTTGGTGCAGTGACGAGATGAAATTTTTATTTGAAAATGAAGTGTTTAAATTGTCTGTATTTGTAAGTAAAGCCTGGAAGAAGCAGCAGACTTATATATTTAAATGAGAGCATGTGTGTTTGATTTTAGTTATGTGCCTGATGTTGGCCTGTGTTTCTGTTTTTGTGTTAATGGTGTCTTATAAGCCCATGTGGGCTGGGTAACTATAATAAAAAATTATCTATCTATCTATCTGTAATGGTTTGTGACAGGCTCAAGCCAATGCTCGCGCTGCCGTCCTGAAAGAACAGCTGGAGAAGAAGAGAAAAGAGGCCCATGAGAAAGAGAAGAAAGCATGGGAGGTTTATGTGAGTCCAGACTATTATCATTCCTGGTCCATGAGTCTATTTTATCTAGCCTTAGTTAAGAGGCTGCTTGACCTCATACCCATCATGTGCTTTGTAGGACCTGGAATATTTTATATTGGTATATTGTTGCAATTTCAACATACATAGAGATGGTTATTTGACATGATTACTGTCTTTGTTTGTCTGTTGCCCATGCAACCAAACTCATGTTAATAATAACAACTATTCTCTACGTCAAAAAAAGTTCTACATCTCAGTATTTGTGCGTGTGCATGTGTGTGTGGAGCGTGTGGGCGTGTGTCACTCCTTCCAAGTCTAATGAAGTCCATTGTGTGTTGAAATGCAAAGCTGGCAGCTCGGGGGAAGAAGGTTAGTCCAGCAGTGTCGACCGCTGCAGAGACATCCACCAAGTCAGATGCTGCGCAGGCTCTGGTTCACAGGACGCCGGCTGAGTCCTGTGAACCAGAGCCTGCATTGCCCTGCTCCTCTCCACCCACACCAGCTATATCCATGACCGCCGCCCTCCACAATGTCGGAGCGGTCAGTGCCAATTCATATTCAAATCAGCACATTATAAACATGATTTCTAATCCACATTTAATATAATACACTGGTCATTCTAATGTGTTTCACAGATGGCATCACTGAAAGAGACAGTGGCTGAGCCACAGGGAGCACTAGCCACCCAGGTGAGCATAAAAACAACCACTTAACAACAGTAATGTACACAGATATGATTGCACCACTTTTTGTTCTTTGTTCTGCATGAAAAATTGAAACATTTAATAGACAATACTAAGGGTGTGCTCACTAAGAAAATATATTGGAGCTATGTTATTATTTAGAAATAAGTCAAATTTTATTTACTAATGTAATTAGAATCTCAAGACTCAATTTACTCTTTTCAGAGTGAGAACAAGGTCATCCTGAACATACTGAACGATAATCTAAAGACCCAGGCAGGAGGTGATGGGGAAGCGAGTGCCCCCTCTCTTCCTCACCCCTCTGTCAGCGAAGAGCAATCTTGTGATTCAGAAAGAAATGGATGGGATGAAGCCGGAGTTACAGAGCCGCCTATGATACACTCCAAATCAAGTGCCACTGCTGCCACCAGTGAGTTGCCGTCCGATCCTTTAACTGGTGTGGGACTAACAGAGTAATGTGTGTACATGTGGTTTTATCAGCTTTCACTGGGTCTTCAGAGGAACAACCAAACTCTGGCGGGGACAGGAAAAAGTGGGAAGCTGGAGTTCCTCTTCTACTTCCCACATCTGAAACTTTGGGGGAATCCTGTGTCACAACCATAAGTGAGTTTTAACTTAATTATACAAGCCAAGGGCTGCGCCAAAAGTTGCGCATGAATGATGGCCCAACTTTTCGCAATCTCATTTATCAACTAGTGCATTGAAATCGAAACACACCATTCATGGAGCTGAAGAGGAGGACTTGTTCTTTCTCCTGAACTCACTGTTTTGGAGAAATTATTAACAATTACTATTAATAGTTAATCATGTCAATAAGAAAAAGAATCTAGATCAATCCAGTGCATGAATACATTGCAGAAGTTAATCTTAATGTTTTAGCCATACAGTTGCGTTTTTTGAACATTTTGTTTATGTGTGTTCATTCACAGTTAAATATTTGTAGCTGAATGTATGATTTTTTTATTTTTATTTTTTCAGGTCACACACTCACAGCAGAAGTTTTTCAGTCAAGTGTTCCTAAAGATGAGGGTCCCCGAAAAGTGTGGGGTGTGAATCCTGACTCTCAAGTTCTGAAAATCCTACTAGAGGCAGAACTGCAGCCTCTCACTCAGAAACTCGAAAACACCAGCATCTGTGAGGGAGACCTGTCCATCAACGGTACTATTACACATTGAAGCCTCTGATGGGAAGTCTTGAATAGTAAACAGGGGCATCTGTGAGAATTATTTTTATGTGATTTATAATAGGAGAACGGTTTTGTTAATGTATCTGGAAACAAAGGATTTAATTATGAATACCCAATTGTTTTCCTGCTACCCCTTCTCTGGTTCCTCAGTTTCACAGAATGAGCCCGCAGAGGTTGAACTGATACAGACTCTCGACCCTGAGCCAGCTGTTGACCTTCAGTGTGCAGATGCTCAGAAGGAGAGTCCTGTTGTAACAGAAGTCCCCCATCAGGGAACGACTGAGGCCCATGCGGACAGCACGCCACTGCCAGAAAACTACTCTGACTCACTGGGTTAGTGAACATCATCTTTTTTATGTTTTCAACCCTGGGCTTTTTAATTCAAACAAGGTTTGAAGATAGAGAAGCCTGCAAGGACATTTAAAACTAAAAGTACATTATGTTCGTTTCGTACCACCTTAAAGAGTCAATGCATTCCATGGAACAAGGAAATTGAGAACTTGTATTAAATATGCAAATGAAATGTGCCCAGAATAACCTTTTATTGCTAAAAAAAAAAAAAAAAGTAATTGTGAATCAAACATGCAGTATGTGCAAGCATAGAGAATGTATACTGTATGTATGTATGTATTGTATTGTTGAGTACCATCTGTCAACCGAATGACAGAAGGACGTGAAAGAGAGTAGGCAGAAGCAAAGTTTATCAGGACTTACCCTTTACCTTCATAAATATTCAAATCTAATACAACCTATACCATTGTGCTCAAAATAGATAACTAACTGAATCAATGTATCTTAATATATATTTTGCATTTAAGATCCAGAAGACATAGAGTCATTAGTTTTGGAAGAACAACCAAAACCATGTCAACCTCCTCCAGCTGATGTGCAGCAGGCCTGGGAGGACGTACAACTGCCTCTGTGAGTTTTTATTGCACTCATACCTGAATTACTGTGGTAATTATACCATGCATTTAAATTAAAATACCATACTCTTAATCAGTAAGATGTGTAGACAATTCTTCATTATATATATTTTTTGAAAAGGGAAGGGTAAATCATATTAAGATAGGATTGACGCTCTTTAATTAGACTTTACTAAAGTTTGGCTAAATTATTTAGGTTCATATATGCATTACTCTACTTGAAGATATATTTTTATATTGCATCTGTATTCTCTTTCTAGGCCAGCAGGTGGAGATGCAGGACCAGCAGGTGGAGATGCAGGCCCATCAAACCAGTTTGACACTGAAAAGCCTGCACACAAACCAGGTGAGATCAATGTGCTGTCTGCGTCCAATGGTCATATATATAATTCCTCTTGTTCCTCAGGAGCAGTGCAGAGCGAGGAGCCACTGTTTATGAAGTTGTGTTCCCCGGCCCACCGCCGCACCGCTGCCCTGGCTCTGCTCTCGGCTCAATCCTCAGTGGACGAATCGTCATCTTCTCTTGCTTCACGGTCTCGATCAGTCTCGCCTATACGCTCCAAACACAACTCCCTCCTCATCGGCCTTTCCACTGGCATGTTTGACGCCAATAACCCCAAGGTATCCCCAGCTCAAGTAACACCTATGACAGCTTTGTCTCATCAAACAATCAATCGACATAAAGTAATAACATGCTGACAAAAGAATTGCACAATCATATTTATAATATGCTTCATAGATTCATCCTCTTGAAGTCTTCACTCACCATATTTCAAAGTTGGATGAATTCTGGCAATAAACTTTTCCTATGAGCATATGTTCTTCTTTCACACGTTGTACTTCCTGCTTTGGCTCTAAAGTAATGAGAGATCATGATGAGCAGAAAACATTATCTGGAGATCGCATGCCCATCTCTGGACCATGACAGTGTTGGATGTTCTTTGATCTGCAGAGCGGATGTTACCGAAGCTTCAGGAAATTACTCTTGTGTTAGGTGTATGTGTAGCCCCATGTGTGGTATTTTTAGGTTGGATTTCTCTTCTTTATTAATGAGGCTTTGGAGTGGAGCCAAAGCAATTAATCACAAGTCTAAACCTGCAGAGGGTCTGATCGGACAGAAGCTGCATCCATCAACCTATATCTTTCATAACATTCACCAGAGACATTGAGATGTACAAAGCTTTGCCCCTTCATAATATGAGCTTATATGGGAAAATCTAAGAACAAGGACACTAGTGTCTGTGGTCATCTAAATGGATCGAATGACATGGTTCAAATCTCATTTTGAGCAGCCAAAAGGCGAGCTCAAATGTTCGGCTGCAATGTAAGAATTTACATCTGTGCTCGAGTACAGAATATCCAGGTTTGTTTTATCTTCAAACGCTGAATCATTTTGACCGTAACTTGACACAGCTTTCGCACTGCGCTGCAAAAAATGAGAAGGGAAGAAAACTTTTTTTGAACGTTTCTGAATTTCCAGTCCAATCTACTGTGGCTTTCAGTGGAGAGTTAAAAGCACATTTTTAAATCTTGTATAACTTTTGCGATATACACTGTACACTATGGTGACTTTGCTATATATTCTGTCGATATCCTTCACCCCTACTGAGTTATCCGTCTTTCATAGAACTGTAGAGTATGCATAACTTGTGCTGTGAGTGCTTCTTTCCTACTGCTCTACAGTTTAGTATATGTAAAGATTACTGCTAACCAAGAGGAGCAGTGTGGCTGTTGATGGGTTCATTCTTAGGCTTGTTAAATCATGAGGACCTCCAAAGACATCTCTGATTTGACAGTTAAATTTAACCAGGGTTCGTGTGGAATTAATCTATTAAAGGGTATTTCTTATTTTGACTACCAGATGCTGCGGACTTGTTCCTTACCGGACCTCAGCCGTTTCCCCAGCTCCCAGCGAGAGGCAGAGGTCAATAGTAACGCAAATGTGGTCCCAGAGGATAACTTGGAGATTGAAGATCTGGAGGAGACTGCCAAGGATGATGATCAGTCTGAGCCAGAAGAGTAAGAAATCACCTACTTTCTCAACCGTGCCTATGTGCACATGCCTCTATTGAATTAAAATATGGCTCAATTCCAATTTTGATACACTTTTTAAAAATCTATAACCATAGTCATTAAGGCCGCACTCAAACCAAGACATTGTTGTTGCTTACCTAAATCAAAACTAGCAAGCAACAAAAAGTGTCTGTTAGTATGGGTAGGAGAAAAAGTATAAGGATTGTACTTTCAACTCTGTTAACAAGAGTTCGACCCACATTCAAAGACATTTACATAGGTTTATGATGTTTGTTATAGTACAGCCTGCAATAGTTAATTATTCAGTCTTCTCTCAAATTTTAGTGTGTATGTGCACTTTGATTATGATGTCTATGTAAGTCAAAGTTATGTAAAACAAAAACAAAAAAAAACAATTTGATAATGTATATATGAGAGAGGGACTGGTGCTATGTGAACTGGATGCAGCTCTGACTGCCAACCCCTGACCCAGAAATGGATTAAGGGGAAGAAAATGGATGGATGGAAATTTGATATATTCAAAAAATCATGCAACCCTATTTTGCTGGTGTGTCTCAGTGCCTACGAGGACGAGGACTTGCGAGACATCCGGGCCTCGATGGAAAGACTGCTCCAGGAGGAGGGAGACCTTATGGACTGTCCCACAGAGATGGGAGCGGGAGACTTTAATGGCAATCCTCCGGACATACGGCAGCATCAGCTTCTCCAGAGGATCGCAGCCGAGATGGTCGAGCAGAACAACATGATGGCCATGGATAATGACGAGGATGAGGATGGCGAGGAAGATGAAGAAGAGGATGAAGGTTCGAACGGTAGTCCGGGCGACGAGGAGGAGGCCGGGTTGCTGCTGAGTAATGGAGTGAGCGGAAGAAGCCACAGCAATAATGGACAACTCAATGAAGAGTGGCAATCAGGTGAAACTATACTTTTGATAGAGAATTATTTGGGGAAAAAAATAATTGTGTTATCTTTCAAATGAAGTATCTGAGATGATTAGAACCAATCTGTTGCAAAAAACAAAGCCCCACATCTTCTCAGTATAGTCAGTATAAATCAACTGGTCTAATTATCTTATCACAAAGGTGTTTATAAGTGGTGACAATATTCAAAAATCAAATGCATGATCATGATGTTGGCCAGTAGAAAGGACTTTCAGAGATAGAAATAATATGACGGGTTCATGAATCTGCTCATAATTAGATGTTCTGGAAAAAGGATTGGACATTTGGACATTGAAATTGAAACAACAAGTCTCCAATAGCTTAGATTAATGGTCAAGGATTCTTCAATCTAAAGTAGTATAACTGAATGTGTAAATCCTGTCTAAAATAATACAATTTTGTATTGCATATTTGCAGACGGCAGCGGTGAGGATCAGTGCAGCGAACCAGAGCATCAGGACAGTATCTTCAGCCGACTGGAAGAGCTGCGCTTCAACCTGGAGCAGCAGATGGGATTTGAGAAATTCATTGAGGCATACAACAAGATCAAGGTACAGTGCATGTTCATCTTGCTGTCGCCCCCTGACTTCTGGATACCTGGAACAAGTCTCTTCCCTCTGTTAAAGGCTATACATGAAGATGAAGATGAGAACATTGACCTTGGCTCCAGTTTCGTCTTGAACATTTTGGGAACCGAGCACCAGCACCTTTATCCCAACATCTTGCATCTGGTCATGGCTGACGGAGCATACCAAGAAGGTAAAACTTGTTAATTTATTAACTACATATACATGCAAATGATAATTTATAGCCCCTAGATATCTGAAATATCAATCCCCTGCGGGCACTTTACTTAGCCACTTAGAAAGTGACTAAGTAATGTGACAGTGGACACATGTAGTTTCATAATTCTGACATTAGTTAGACAAGTTATTTGTACATCTTCATACCATTTTTTTCAATCCACTGATGATCCTTCCATGGCCTTAGTGCAAACCGCCTGTTTGTACAGAACTGCCTGTTGTGCCAATGGAGCGCACAATTTTCTAACAGCTCCATGCGTTCTCCGCGTATGCTAATGTTTAACTTTTCCTTATTTACATATGGTGCACATAAGGTTATGAACACATGGTTTTGATATCAGCGTTGCACTGCAGACATTACAGTGCTTGCACACATGCAGAGGGAGGCAGAGGGAGGCAGAGGGAGGCAGAGGGAGGCAGAGGGAGGCAGAGGGAGGCAGAGGGAGGCAGAGGGAGGCAGAGGGAGGCAGACCACTTCAGTACGTCATAAAAAATGGGCGGCCCATTTCCACTTTGTTCCTTTAATTGTTTCCAAACGTGCATTTTCTAAAACCATGAAATACATTTGAACTTACAGACATGACCTTTTTTGCTAACCTTGATAGTCTTTTACCATGTATTTATTCCTGTTTTGTCCAGTTAAAAGATTACAATGATCAAAAGATGAATCATTTAGATAAAATATATTCCAGTCTCTCTGTAATTTTTCTTCCAGATAATGATGAGTGATATGTTGGACAATCTGCCTGCTCTGAACTGTCTTCCCATGAGACACATCGTTGGTGGGATCTAAGCATGAAGCGCTTTTCATCCATAAGGCACTTGCATGGGAAAATGACAAGATGTTTTTTCTACTTTGACTATCCTCCAGATCTGCTACGAGTCTGCTCTTTCTCTTCTTAACCAAAGTTGACTCAAGGGTTTATATCAATTATTTATGAATGTCCTTTGTGAAAAAGTGAACAACACTACCTTCTGCCAGAGTTTTTATCAGAGCTTTATACTTTACAGCCACTTTACAGTTAATTAAGTGGTTTAGACCTACTTTACTTCAGCGTTATTCCGGTCAGGACAGTGTAATCCTCTTTAGTTAATTCAGTTTTATTTGAGCAACTTAAGTTAAAACTACAGTATCTGATAAATATTGTATAGTTTGTTAAGTCTGACAACTGACAACTGCTGCGCTCTGGTTGCCTCAATTCCAAAACTTCAATACAACCGGTAACCTCTTTTTTTTTACTTTCTCTTTTCACTTAATGTGTAGCTATAGTCTGACACTTTTCCTATTCTTTGAATGTGTCTGGTTCAAATCAAACTGTCTTATTGATGGTTGTATGTTGCGACTGTAGCAAAGGGTTGAAATGACAAGATAAATCAGGTAACTAAGTGCTGTGCTGTACCGAAGCAATTGGATACATAATAATAGATGCCATGAATTATGTATTTTTTTTATATATATTAATAAACACTTTTGAAAAAAAAATGTCTTCTTATTGCATTTTGCCAAAACAATAGTCATTTTACTGGGGATTGAGCAATATGCCAAAAAGTTAAAATAATTGTATCCCTAGTAGGGCCTAGACGCTAATTATTAGTTCATGTTATTATAATAAATTTACAAAGTAGCAAGTGTGTGGGAGAAAATATCAGAGCACTAAGCTGTGATATGTAACCACAGTTTGACATCACTGCATTCTCACAGTGCTCATTCAGTCACACAAAAGACACAACTGTGGGTACATGTACTGTAACATGTCAAAGCAGGTGGCCCACAGCAGCAGAGGACCACACTGGGTGATACAACGGGATAGCTGAAGCCAAAAAGGGCTTTCGTCATGGTTTATCTATGCCAGGCATATCCAAGTTGCCAATATGACCTGCCGTACCTTGGTTTAAGGTTTCATTCAATATTGATAAACAATTTTTGACTTTGATACAAGTGACTTTTCTTTGACTCAGTAGCTTAAACAAATGCAAAATTAAGTGGACAAAACGTTAAACGCATTAATTCATTCATTTATTTTCAACCCCATTATTAGTCCATTTCTGGGTCGGGGGCGTGGAAATGAGAGCTGCCACCCAATGCTCATAGCACCAGTTCCTCACTGATCTTCTGGCAGGTGGTGGGTCCACGTTAAACGCAAATTAAGTTAAATTCCATAAGGTATATACACCAAACAATAGCGCAATTAGGTTGAAATCTATATTCATTTAAATTGCTACTTAAAGTCTGTCTTAGTTATGGGTTTGATCTTATTGGTACTGTTTCATTATAGTAGGATGCAAGTTCAGGGCTATAGTTTGCGTTTTTAACAAGAAATGTTTTATTTTAACAAATCAAATGTCAAAAATGGTTTTACCCTTACTACAGGGCCTTGAAATATCATCTAAATCTGGCTTGAGTTGATACATGCCTTCAATTTGATGAATAAAAATCAACTCTTTCTTATACTGTATATCTTATACATGTTTATTTCTGCTCTTTAACAATTCAACCGCATCCTACCAAAACTGTGTGTGCATCATATAGTCACCTATTTTTTTTTTTTCTCAAATCAAAGGTATATTTAACTTGTACGTGTCTCTTTTCCCTCCAGTCAGTGTGCAGACAGAAGCCTATTCCCATCCACAAGCTTTCAACACATCCTCTCATCGTTTTTTCTGTCAGTAGAGAGATTTATTTGTGGATCCGATCCCTGTGGAGAAATATTGCCCGAACCTCCAGCCATTTTCTGAACCGTGTCTGATTTAGTGCGACAGACAGAAGTGGGCGTCTTCCTATCAATCGCTTTAGGTTTCCATAAATATGACATGCAGACCTCTAGTATGCTTCCACCATCACTGCAAGATTAACATTAAATCTGATGTCTTATTAATATTACACTCAGTTTATATCGTGAAAAGCAGATTGATCCAGTTTAGTGTGGCCATCTGCAGCATATTATGAGAAAGCAGTCTTTTTTATTCTGAGCAGGCTTTATGGATTACCAAAATATAAAGCGTAAATAATTATACTTATGTAAAAGTATAGGTACTAGAATAAATGTTTCTGGGAAAAGTGAAAGAATTGAAAACAATCCGTTACTTAAGTAAAGCTTTTGTAAAAGCACTGCCTTTTTGTTTAATAATTGATGCACTTTATTTTAGGCTTTGCCTTTAAAACACTTTCAAAAATGAAATACAATTTATGCTTCTGAACATGGGGCATTGTACTATTATGTGAAGTACGTATTTTTCAACAATATATTAAAACAAACCCTTCTCTTTGCTTAACTATGACCAGTAAGATTATCCAGAGGAGAATGGTCAAACCGGCGACGAAGGACCACTTGGATCTGACTTCATTTTGACCTGAAGTAAGAATGGTGATAATAATCACAGATTGTCTTCAAAAAGTGTCATTTTTTTCTACAGTTTAAAGTTAATGTCTGATACTTTTCCTACAAACGTTGCAGGAAATTGTTGTAGAAATATTTCATACTGTCAGAGAATATGGCAATAGATTCCTTTTATTTTCAATTTGCAGTACATAGATAAAACAAGATTAAAAGTACATCGACACAGTGAAATCAATCAACTAAAACAGTTTAGCTAAACAAAACATAATCTAAGACGACAGTTGTCATATATGTTATGATAGTTGGGTTTAAAAGTAAAAAGTCATAAATGTATGTAGTTAACTTTCCCAGAAAAAAATACTTAGGTACAGTACTTATTAGAAATATCATAATCAGCTTGAATAATTAATTACTAACAGACAAAATCTCAGGATTCAAGAGCTCTACATGGAAACTTTCAGCTGATTTCCCACATTTCCCAACGCTCCCATTCATTTTTCTTACATTTTTACACCCCTTTGATTATTTTTGTTATTGATTTTTGTAGTCCTCTTCTATCTCTCACTCTGGTGTCTATTTGACTGACATAGACACACAAAAAGTTAACATTGTCCACAAAGCTATTTTGTAATTTGGCACATTGGAATTTGTTCACATTCATATATATTTTTTTCTCTTCAGTCTTGTGATGTAAATATGAAACAGGATGTCATTGCCATTATAAAATGCAGCATTTCTGACGTGACTACCAACACACACACACCACTTTACCGACAGCTTCAGGGTAAAGGCCAGAGAGATAATGTATAACAACGTAATAAAGTGCAAAGTTTGAGATCACACTGCTGCTTGATATCTATCCACTCAGCCAACAAATCCAAACATTAAAAGTAATTCAAAGTATTTGCTTATTTAGCCAATAGCCTGTAGTTTGCACAGTGGCAGTGCAAGTCTTCTTGAAACAGAATTATTGAATCAGAAGTGAAACCACAAACAAACACGGAGCCACAATGACCCATAAATGCTGCATGAGGTGTTTGATGTGAGCTGTCACCCGCCTCAAAGTGATGGCCTTTCTACTGTCACAATGTGAAGCTCATTAGACTCATGGGAAAATGTTGCAATAAAGTGAAACATTGAGACTATTATATATCACAGCGCAAATATAGCACAGTCCCAGTTAATCCTGGTAAAAAAAATGTCAAAATCTATAGTTGCAATAAAAAAGCATAACTTGATATTTTGATGTAGTTCAACCCTCGACAGTGGCTCAGATGGTAGAGCATTGGCCTTTGAGCCTGAAGGCCTACTTCACGACTCCCACTGATGTCGACTGTCGTTGTGTCCTTGGGCAAGACACTTAACCCCACTTTGCCTGAGGCCCCCGCTGAAAGATCAAGGCTCCTGTGGACTCACCACCTGCAGGAGGATCAGCGAGGGACTGGTGCTATGTGTACTGGTGCAGCTCTGACTGTTGAAGTGGTCCCCTGTTCATTGACATTCAGCAGCAGACTCAACTCTAATTTAATTCCAAAACAAGTTGCCCTGGGCTGAGTTTGTAACTTTTCATGTCTTATCAAAGAAATGCAAAACGGAGACCAGAGTGTGGAAATGTGTTGGTTATAATTGCATATTGAGCGGGGGAGAGAAACCAGGCTGGTTTCAACAAAGCCGTCAGCGCCATAAGTCAATATTTATTAAAAAGAAATATGTCTGTCTTGCTCTGAGATCGAACTTTGTGTTAGGTAATTATTTATAGTCATAAAATATACAAGACTGAGCAATATTACTGTCAAGGTTATCCGTTTATGGAAATTGGGGCGTATGTCTTCCTTGTCCTCCTGAGAGGTTTGACAATCCTTATTTATAGGCACTGGCCCGGCTGTCACCTCCATCATATACAGTAGGCGTTCGTGTGGGTGTACAGCGTTCACAATTTTGCCGCAAGATATATTCTGTGTGAAATATTCAGTGTTGGGGAGAATACTTTGAAAATGTATCTAGTTAGAGAATACTGTCGCACTTTTCACACTCATTACAATGTAACAAAGCAGCAATGGAAAAAAACAACTCTGTTCTTGCAGTTTGTATACCTTTTTTGTTATTGTTCTTTGAAAATGATAAACTAGCGTTACATCATTGCAAGAGACGTTTTCATTAGTGTATATCTAATATTTGGTAAACATTTCTGTAGTAACTATTCTGAATAAAAGATAAAGTTATGTATTCCAAGTAACATTGTACAATAATAGTATTCCATGTATGTATCAAAGGTATATGTATTCTGTCACTCCCAACCCTGGAAAAATTGCCTGAGTAGTTGCATAACTTAAAAGTGGGTTACCTAACTTTCAATTAACTAATTTGTTCCTCGCTCTCAAAACAGTGTGGTTATTTTCACATGCGTGTGTTTTTGGTCTGTGTCATACTTTTAGATCAGCATTTTTAGACAAAAAGTTAAAAAGAGACGACCACTCTCACTCTACCCTAGTACCCATACTGTTAAATATTGACTCACTGGTATTGTGTCTCAGCAGAAGATATGTATCATGGTTGGTTCAAAGCACAAGCAACACGACCAAAGTTTCAGAGCGTTCACATGGTTTTATACTTTGTATAATAATAATAAGGTTAGGTACCCCAGCTTTAGGAAAGTAAGTGTAGTGTTTTTATGTGAGACTGGCTCAATCCTGTGGATATGAAGTCTATGTTTTCCCTGTTAATTGTCACAGACCTGAATGCCGCAAGCTTCAGGGCTGCAGATAGGCACGTCTGAGTCATGTGTCTGGTGTCTGACACTTTTACTGGTTTTCTTCTTACACAAATTCATGTGTAAGAATAGCAGCATATTGTGTCATGCCCAATTGGTGACTCAGGATTAAGCCAAGCATGAACAAATTCAACCTGGCTATACAAAACTATAACTTTAATGGACATCTGTACACAGACGCCTTGCCTTAGAAGTTAAATTAAACAATGCTTTGTCTAATATTGTGGTTTCACTGCACATGTGGTGGTACACAGAGGCCAAGTCAAATATACAGCCAAGGGGTCCATTGTCTGCTGCAGAGGTGAAGGGGAGGGGCGTTGGCTGCCAGTCTGTCCACAGTCAGGAAATATGACCTAGGGGCCCCAGCCAACTCCCATGGGATCACAAGTGACAGCAGAGCGCCACCTACAGATAAATCTCCTCCTTTATGGTTCTTTCCCCGGCTCCTTCTGCTCACCAGGGTGTTGTCCAGAAAATACATAGGGCCTAGTAAACATAAATCACACAATATAGGCTTAGTCTGCTGCCTTTTTAATCTGGTAGATAGATGGTGAAGATACATGCCTTTCTTCTTCCTTTAATTGTTTTGATTCGGTGGGTTGTTTTGCTTCTTCATAATCAACTCTTCAAATAAACATATCCGAATTGTAACCATTCACGCACTGACTAAACCTCTTTTTTAGAACGTGGGCTACAAAATGATGAAAATGATGCTTCTTGATTATGTGTCCATACACCATAGGCTACGGATTATTTATGACAATACCTGTTGCAATCCATGACGGTTTTGAGTGAAGAACAAAGACATTACAATATTCTCTTCTTACTATATCGTGACTATAAATTATATATTAAAACAGCCTAGATATAGTGGTCTAATTGTTCTTAAATAATTGATATGCTAATTTAATCAGCCTGTACTCTAAAATGATGTTTATTGTTGCCACATTATTCTGGCCAAGCCCCTTATCGAACAACAGCTTTGCGGCGCCTCGAAAATTTCAAAACAAAATTCCCCCAACACCATCTTTTTTCCCCAAACTTGAATTAATAAATACAAAAACAGATATTTTGCACCAAATAACAAAGTATTAAGACAAAACACTCATCATTTTATTTTTTCAAAGCATAATTTGGCATTTATCCATCATATTGTGCGGTGGTTCGTGAAGCCCCCATTCTCCGCCTCTCATTGTAGACTCCCGCAGTCTGCCTCCGCTGTCTCAGTTTCAGTAGCATGGCGCTCAGGCAACTTCCACCCGTGTTCGCCTCTCCTTTTCTCTACATGTTCGCCTGTGATCTGAGCCCATATTGAACTTATTTTGGACGCCACTACTTCTGTCTATCCCAGGACACAATTCAAGCGTTATTGGTGGGGTTGTTTTATTATTTAAAGACGTGTTAAAACGCCCCGTCTCAGCGCTGCTAACTTGTAACATTAGCAAGAAGAATTGTGAGATACGGAGCTGTAGGAGAGGAGGAGTCGTGTTTTGGAAAAGGGGTAAGTTTAATATCTCTTGTGCAAAACTGAATTCGTTATATGTCTCATGCAATGTTTATTCTAACTTAATTCATGTGATTAAATTATCTCTCTTTATATTTATATAATCCCAATTCAATTAAAGTAAGTAAGTAAGTTGCACTGAAGTTAGCTACCTTGTGCTAGCAAAGTTTGTTAGAATATTTTTTACTCCACATATTTTGATAATATTGTCAGTATCTTGTGGAAAACATCACGTGTTTTAGTTTTTATATGGATAAGACGCGAAAAGATTGTATTACGATTCCCCGGGCAAGTACACTGCGCGTTACGTAATGTTGACATTTTCTTGGAGTAATGTTACACTTGTGTTGGACAAGTTCAACAATTAAGTCAGTGTTTTAGAGAAGGACCTTTTCTTGTCGCAGGGATGTTATTATAGCTCTCTGTTTTAAGATGAAAAGAAGAATAGTTCAAAGGAGACCTTCCCTGAGTGTTGTAAATCACAGTTTTTGACTTGTTGGCAGCAGACCACTTCTTCAGGATTACAGGTTATAGTTGTAATTACCCGCAGGGAGTAAATTAGATTAAATTCTTTACCTTTTAATCCTACACTTTATAATCTGGATCATCATGTATTGTTTATCAAGACGTCGTTTTCTCTTGTAATGTATATACATCCATATTATACAGCTGTATAATGCGATATTTCTGACCAATCTAATCGCGATATTTCTGACCAATAATGTTGCCCAGAGTAAATAGAACCACACAATTCCCAAAGATTTCAGAGATTGTTTATTTAGTTCTAAACGTTAGTACAACTTTTTTCTAGTAGAAATAAAAGTTTCCTTGCAAACATATAAATGCTCGAAGTAAGTAGTTTTTATCCTCTCTTGTACATCACTTTTATGACAGTTTGTATAAATTATTAAATAAAAATAGATGTCTCCTTTTGGAATGAAAATGTGTTGCCTTTACCTGACAAGACAAAAGATGTATGCATTGACAAGTCTACAAAAATACTCAAATCAATAGACTGTTCCCAAATTCAGGGGACTCTCTTTGGTTTGAAAATGTGTCAAAAAATGGCAGTCAAGTTGTGGTTAGACTTTACTAATTGCGGCCACTGCCAAAATGTGACGTCCATTCATTGCGATTAATAGCGCAGCCCTAGATCCATACATTAAAAGCATATGTAGCAGAATGTATGAATGACCCAATTCCAGCTGATTAATCTCTTTGCTTTGTTCTCTTCAGCCAATGCAGAGGCCATGGCCATAACCGCAGCATGGGAGTGACATGATGGCCCCGGGGCTGCTTCCAAACAAAACCCGTTGCCAGCGTCCTGCCCTCCTGCTAAGCTAGAGGCAGAACTTGGAGGATGGACGAGTCGGTTTTGTTGGATCTTCTGGAGTGCCCCGTCTGCCTGGAGCGCCTGGACGCCACAGCGAAGGTCTTGCCCTGTCAGCACACCTTCTGCCGACGCTGTTTGCAAGGCATCGTGGGATCCCGGGGCGAGCTACGGTGCCCCGAGTGCAGAACTTTAGTCGAGTGTGCCGTGGATGAACTCCCCAGTAACATCCTCCTGGTCAGACTTCTGGATGGCATCAAGCAGCGGCCGCGAAGAGCCGGTCCGGGCGCAGGAGCCTGTACAAATGGAACTTCTGGGGCGGTTGCCAGGGCGCACTGCAGTGGGAGACAAGAGCAAGGCACTCCCGGGACACAGCCACAGCGAACCCAGGCCAAGAGCTCCGTCGTCAGGGTGAGTGTACCAGTGACCCGCCATGCTTGACAGAGCATTAATCATCCAATCAGCATTGTCAAGGTCAAAATGAAATATTACTGAGAAAATTGGTTTGAATCAAAAGCAGCATGTAACATTACCTTGGCACTGTGATATGAATCTCCTCCAATTGACTAATGGTCCTCAAAGGTGTTTCTACAGTCTTAGTTATTTTGGTTGGAAAAACTTTATGATTTTCTCCCATTGAGACTATTGCACTTACTGTATTTTCACCCTCTGAATGTGTCCAACAGGTTATATACTCTTCAATGTTCCAAGAAGTTGTGAGCTTTACAGACTATCACAGTGTTGCAAGATAAAATTACTTTCTTGCTGTAACTGTAACTACTAAATGACAGCTTTATTATGTTCCACCGCACACCTTAATACATATGGTTTCAGAACATAAATATCCTATTCTCATATTGATGTCTTATGGCTCTCAGTAGAATGCGTTGGCTCATCGTGCATTACCAGCAGCCATTAAAGTGTCTGTGTCTTGAGGCTGTTGACAGTGGAACGGTTGATTGTGCCTCCTCTTGTTTTCCTCTCCTCTCTCCTTTGCTGCCTGGCTCTCTGTTTTCTCTGCAGGAGTCCCTTCGCGTCTCATTGCTGTAAACTTTGCAGAACTGCAGACTTGCACTTGAGGCTTGCTGCAGCGTTGTAGCTTCTGCCAGTGTGAACTGCTGTGACAAATGCAGAGTGGGTGAGCCGAGTCGAGTGGTGCTTGTTTTAAAGTGGTATAAATCGAATATGAGGATGCAGAATGCGTCGCAGCAGATGAAAGAGGTGTGTTTTTAATGATGCCAGGCAGGAAACGGCACCTTAAATGACCCCTGTAAGCAGGAGGAAGCGCGGGCGTAACTGAATTACTGTGTTTTTGTGGAAAAACTAGGTGTGTAAGGAGACGCATGCCAAAGGAACCCAATTGTTAGTGCTATAGTGGAACATGGTTAACTTTTGACTTTAAAAATACCATAAGTGGCTAAATATTTGCTCTTCTCTCCATTGGACTGTATTATAAAGATTTTGTAGATGTGTTGGGTCCATGCTGGCGATCATGTTGGGTCAATGTTGGGTTCATTTTGGGTCCATGTTGGGTCCATCAGAAGCAAAGAATCACCCTTTTCCCACTGCATGATTAAGGGTAATCATGCAGTGGGAAAAGGGTGATCTCACAAATATCTGCTCTTGGATAGTTTTTGTAACCCTAATTGCAACTTAATTTGCTTTTGATGCGACCACATTTCACTGAGGCTGCGTAAAGAGGCAGAGTGCAAAGCCATATATGGCAGAACTGAATATAAGTTGTCAGAAAATGTAACCGGGAGATTTTGAGAGGTTTGCACTACCCTTTGAGTTTGCTACCACAGTTTTATGGTGAAATTCTACACATAGGCATGGAAAATTTGTGTTGCGGTTTCTTTTAATGAAGCTTTGTCAATATAGCAATAATCAAAGATTGTCCAGTCATATATGTGGGATTTAATCTTTTTATTGCGCCTTTTTAGAGGTTATCAATTATCTCTTATGAAAGAAGAATTTATGAATGCACCACCACATAGTTTTCATTGAACATGATGCATGCTCTAAAAATGTGTGGACTTGGCTTGCACATGTGTGTGAGGAAGAGATGAAAAGATGTTTGACCCTGTGTAGCATCCTTGGTATGTTCTTACTCAGTGTCTGCTGCCGCAAAGCATTATGGTGAGGGGGGAAGGGGGAAGGGGCGCACTTAACTTCCTCCCATATCTGTTCAGAGCATTTACATAAAGACTTATTTATATGACGTTTAATATATTTAACATTCACAAAGTTGTATATTGATTATTGTGAGTTGAATAGCCCAGGCCAACTTCTGTTTGTGCCTTTTATTGTGCATCTCCACAAAACATCACAGCTCAAGATGAAGACTAACTGCATGAATTACTCTGGGAAAACAAGTGACTGGGTTAATGGGAGGGGAAAAGAATTTGCACATATTTGTGTACTTGTACTTGAACCGCTAATAAACTGCCTTTGTGTTGTTGTTGCTGAGTCTATATTATTTGTTTGGTATTTGTGTGGTATTCTGTGTGAAACATCTGATAGTCACTGCTTGTGGTTGAAACAGGATTTTTTTTTTCCTCTAAAGCTTAGTTTTATATGGCGGGGTTTCCCTACAATGTGAAAAGCATGGTTGTAAACATGAAGCTGGATATAAAAAGCAATTTAATGTTTCTGTGCATGTGGATAAGAACAAAGAGCCCATTGCCATGTTGGAAGCAGCGTAATTCACATTACCCTGGGTCGGATGATATCTTGGGTTTAAAAGTGCACATCTTTTTATTTCTAAGGGCGCTAATTGAAATTTCCCTTTCTCAGACAAGCTATGCACACAACACAAGCCCTTTTACTGACTACTAATGCACCAGATATTTTCCTTAAGTTTGCTGTTCTGTTTCATCAATGCTTTTTAAATGGTAAGTGATTGTAATGATGTAAAATAACGCTGTAAAATATGTTAGAATAAAAGACTGAGTTATTTTCTTTGCATTTATTATTTATTATGTTGTATGTAGGATTTGTATTATGTTTTGCAAAAACAATTAAACTGAAAGTAGGGGAGCTTTATTTTTAATAGAAGTCACTAATATCTTTTAAAAATGTACATAACCTGTTGAACCCGATTCTCGTCTGAATGTTGAGGCAGCGTCAAACATCCCTCTTCCTAGTGTTGTTGCAAACGGCCTTGGAATCACATCCACATGATGAGGCTCCTAAAGAAAGGGCAGTATTTTCTTACTTTAATCCAATCATGCTGCAGTTCTTCCACTTTAGAGCATGAAACTTTTCCTTAACATCCTGATCATAAATATAAGAATAAACATGTATTGAAATCATTGATAACAAGTGCAAAAATATACACTCAGAGGTTTTCTTAACACGTAATAGCTTGTCTCAGATGGATCAATTCAATTATGTGCTTTAAGTCTAATTACAGGTTTTAATCAAGCTAATGGCCATCGTCCCCTTAAAAGCTTTGCATATTTTCTAACCCATAGTGGCCGCTGACTATGACACGGCCAGCTCTGAGTGACAGAAGTGCTGACTACAAGCACTACCACTGCACTGTTGTTACCAGTGGTGACCGATAAGACACGACAGTTGTGCCGGTGTAGCATTTTCTCAACATACAATATGGACATCAAAGCTCTTCAGTTATTTGGAGCACTAAACATAAGAACCGAAGGAGCTTTTAGAGACTATTTCTCAGAGAAGAATTGGAGGTGGAGTTGGGCTAGGGTGAGCGGCCCCCAACCCAGTGAAGCAGCCTGACAGGGGCACAACGGGGGTTTTGTTTGGAACCCCTCTGATCTCTTTCACGGACCCACATATGTGAAGGAGCCGGACTAGACCATGTGACAGCATTTGCGTTGTAAGGATACACAGAAATCTTTCATTGTGATTGTTACTGTCTTACTATGTTGGATTTTATTAAAGCAAGTCCTGAATATTCCTAGCACTCTCTCTTGTGGCGGTTTTTGTGAATGTTCTCCGGTACTTTACCTCCCTAAATTACTGGTCCCGCGATTGTCACTTTACCATGGCAACGCAAGCAGGACATATTTTTTTAAGCACTCTCAACCCTGGCGAAAAGTGGATTTCTGTCTCATATTACTACCAATTGTCCATGCCAAAAATCAAAATAAATTATTATAACACAATATTAAACAATGGGCTCAGTGATTGTGTTGTATTTTGGGCAAAAATGGCTTGATCAACCGCTACTTGCACTTTGAGATTTAAGGCTGTTTTCAACACATGGGCCTTTCTAAGAGGTGAAATGAAACCTCAAACCTCTGCCTTTAGTTGCTGTCTTTCTAATCTGAACCATGACTCATCTGTCTGCTGCTTTTTTCCTCTATTGTTTTGTCTTTCCTGTGCCCTTGTTGGCTCCTATAACAGGCAGTTTTGAGTGAAGAGGCACATTTTTCAGTGCAAGTGAAGTCATTTTAGGAGCAGGCGACGGGTCAAAATAATGTCAAGGCAGTCATAGGTCGGACCCTTTGAGAGTAAGAAGAGTCAGAGATTACTGTGGAGGGCTTTATTTTAGTAGAAGACCAAGAAAGGTTAGTAATGGAAAGCTGTTTGTTTAGTAACGTAGCCCTGACCTGTTATTACCAGATACGTTTTCATACCACAATGTGCCAAGGAATTTTGTTTGCAAATGTGCGCAATCACGATGTCAAAACTATTCATTTAATGGATCGGTGTTATGGTTCCAATCTTGAATAAATTACCTAGGGCCAGGCGATGTGTGTTTGTGTGTGTTATTAAAAGATTTTAATCAAATACTCAATTTGTACAGATGCTGAGGAATCCAAGTTGAAAACCTTGGAACGCTGTTGTTTACATTTGATGTGCTCTGAGAGGAGGGGCTCTGCAAAGAAATGTGCTTGTTATCCTGGCCTTGATTTCACAATTTAACTTTCTTGTAATGTATAGCCCTGAAACACGCTACGAATTGACTAACTGGCTGTGGTATTTGCATGTTTAGTCTTCTCTCTTACTCTTGATTAGTTCTTGTCAGTGTTTACCATTTCCTTATGTTTAGGCATTTTGGTGAAATTCCTCGGCTCCGCCCGCTGGTCTGAGGTTGATGACTCATGCCGCCGTCCCTCTTTGATGACATCACTGTTCTGTGCCTGACCTCCTCAGCCTTTGTGACTGTAGCCGATTATTACAGCCCACACTTTGGCAAAGACTGAACTTGCAGTTTTCCTTTGGGAATTTCTGAAAATGTTTGGTTTATTCAGTCCCACACTCTATGCACGCACACTTGCTGCACCATGAGTTTCCCTCATGTTTAACAGATTTCATTTTGAAAACACCACATCAGACTTGGATTTTAGGCAGAAAAACTAAACTGCAGAATCCTACTTGGAATCACCAGGTTACAGACCCAAACCCTTTGTGTGAAATGTGTATCACTATCC